AACTAAGTAACATAAAGTATATCAGCATAATTTAACTGCAGAAAATTGTAGGCCTATGAACTACAAAATAAGGACTGAAACTTATTGGGAATGGGAATAATATGATTTGAATATTAATCATTCATTAAGCCAGACATACCTATATTTACATAACTAAACTGGTACAACATAAGTAGAAAAAAAATACAACAAAAACTTTAAAATATTAAAAAAGATAAACTTAAATGGGAGTTGAAAATTTTTTTTACTAATGGTAATGCATAATATCCGTAATACTCCCTTAACACCTTTAAAATATTGTTTTTATTACGTTTGGCATTTCTGCTAGGATGTATGTCATTCTTAAACACTGATTGCAGAACACTGACGAAGGATGAATCACTCACTTAGTGTTATCAGCTTGTAGTTTATCTGTATGACTTTCTCAGTAAGATTGCTAATGCTGCAATCTCACAAATTACTGTGGTATATTGCCTAGATAACAGACAAACACTGTGTCATGGAGAATAGTGAATTCTGCTGAGAAGAGCTAGAGATTGTAGTACAATTACTTGTTGATTGGGACAATTGGTTTAATTGTGCCAACCTTTGTACCCCCTGGCTAATGGTCTTTGTTCTTAAAAGTAATTTTTTTATTGAGATATTTAAAAAAGTAATTAGGCTATTGATTAAAAAATCTCCTAGAAAGAGTACCTAATGATAGTCTTGTAATTGGATGTTTGACAATATAGATAAGAACAGCAATTGAATTTATTTAGCGTTATTCCAAATCAGAATGGTTTTTTGTTATTAAATATATACGATGGATAGAGTCAAAAGAAGAGAATTTAAAACCTTGATGAATAAAAAAAAACATTTAAGGCCCAGGTCTTAACTTAAACAATAAAAAGTAACATAGACATGTTAAATATAATTCCAAGGAAATCATTCACCTTGTACATAGTATTTTCTGATACCACTCATGACCTTCTCAAACTTGTTAATGTTTACATGTTTATTTATAAAGTAACAAAAAAGGGAATTGTAGCGGAGATTGTTTGTAAAAGATAGTTTGTTGTCACTGCACTTAAGCCAGAAGAGATAAGCCTAATTTCGTAAACACTAGATTAGATTAGATTCCACCCACACACCACGGTTCATTTCTTAAGGCGGAGATGAGTGAAGGATGAATGAGGTGAAAGACAGCTTTGTTAATAAGATCAGACACTTCTATAACCAGGATCAGGATTTCTAAATGTCTAATGATCAAGGACAACTCAGGCTAGTTTTCAACTATTAAAAAGCATCTGTCTTTTCTTTCAGGACCAAAGAAACATTTTAAGGACGTTTCAATTCCCAGCTCATCCACAAAAATTAAATGGGTTTGGACCACTTTCCCTTAAAAGCGTTTGCATTGAATTTGATATAGACACAGAAAAAAAATACTCATAGAGAAAATAACTAGTACTAAATGAAAATTTAGACCCTGCCAATTCTGAGAGACGAAAAAATTAAAATGAGTTACTTTAATTGAGTCAGAATGAGGTTGTGTAAACAAAAAGTCCTCTTGAACTGCCTGGAACACAAAAATTATCTTTGTAGCAATGTCTACTATAATTTTATTATGAATGAGTAAAAAAACCTCACTTCAGGCTTGTTTAAGTTTTATTAAACTCTTGTTTGTTGAACAACTAAATTTGAAAACTAAACTAAAAATGTTGTAAGAATAAGGCATGTAGTCTTTCTTGTGAGATTTGTTATGCAATCATGTGATAAACCAACTGTAACTACAGTCTCTGATAGACTTTCACTTACGAGTATTCAACTCCCACTTAAGTGATGACATTATGGACATGAGTTCAATTTTACGGGCCGCTTTAATTATGGGCCTAGGGGCGCAAGAGGGTTTAGGTTTTTTGGGGGGCAAGGAATATCACAATTCCCCCATTAGGTAGGTGGAGAGCTGCACCATTATCTCTCCCCATGGCACTTCACAGGCAAACCGCGGGTCTGGTTGTCACGTTTATACACATCAATGTTAAAAATGACGTTCAACTTATTTTAAACAAAAATACTTAACGCCTAAGTAGACCTAAAATTTTTGATTTAACTTCAATATTCATAGTTAAATTTGCTCTGATAACCTATTTTGTTTTAACCACCCCTCAATAGCAAATATTGATGTGCAATATTGATAGGTAGGTTATGTTTAAATATTGATGTGTGGAGATTATACCTGTAAAGAAATATACAGGGTGTTTCAGTAAAGCGTAGCGGGCTATGCAGATTCAGATTCTACATGCAAAAATAAGTCGAAAATGTTGAATAACTTTTTTTTGATTACGGCTTAGTTTGGCCGTAATCCGCCATTTTGTATTTTTTTTTAAAACAATTAATAACTCAAAAACCCTTGGAGATATTTTTATGAAACTTGGTACAAACTTTAATTATATAGGTATAAACATTCTCCGAAAATATCTTTGATCAGGCTCATCGAGTTTCTTAATGGCGACCATTTAAAATTTTGTTTTAATGGCCGGTTTTCACTGAATTTTACTTAAAAAAAAAAATTTAATGGCCGCCATTTTGAAATTTGATGAGCCTGATCAAAGATATTTTTGGAGAATGTTTATACCTGTAGACTTAAAGTTTATACCGAGTTTCATAAAAATATCTCAAAGGGTTTTTGAGTAATTAATTATTTTCAAAAAAATACAAAATGGCGGATTACGGCTAAACTAAGCCGAAATCGGAAAAAAGTTATTCAACATTTTTGACTTATTTTTGCATGTAGAATCTGAATCTCCATAGCCCGCTACGCTTTACTGAAACACCCTGTATTTTGAACATTATGTGACTCCAGTTGTAGAGGCTCGATAAATTGATTTCTGATTCCCTCGGAACTCTTCAATCTACCACATGTTATTTTACCTTCATAAATATACAATTTATCGAAGATAGTACCTCGATTAATCAAAATTATGGGATCTGTTGAGCTCTGATAACCGTTATGTTTGTAGTTCAAAGGTTTAACAGAAACCATTTTAGTATTCAAGGTGTTAAGGTTTTTGGACCTTTATAAATCAAACTTTCATACTCCCAGGACAATTAATCTCGTAGGTGATATCTAGCCCGTGATCGTTTATCTAGCCGCACCAACAAATTCTCTCCAATTCAACTAGCTCTGTGTCCTGTTTTGCGGTTCCAAATCTCTGGATGGATCTGCCTTGACCTGGTCCCACCATCTCTGTTTTGGTCACCCACAAGATCGCCTTCCTTTAGGGTTATTTCTACTGACTCTTAAAAAGTTAATATTTTTTTACTTTCAGTTTACTTATATTTTAAGTTAACGTTCTATACTTTTAAATACTTTTAAATTGACTTTTTCACTCTACATAAGATTTCATCTTCATGTATCAAGCTCTACTGTATTAATTCTTCAGTGTAGTATCATATGCAATAGGAGGCGGGCCAAGGCTGTGCAGATAAGCAAACAGGAAACTGACTCAGACTGATATGTGAGCCACGGTATTCTGAGAACTGTAACTGCCAGTTGGCACCACACACCAGACTGCTGACTGCTGACTGCTGACAGGGAAATGTTCATGTGTCAGAACAGAAACACCTGTTGTGCATTACTCACCCTCGCCCCTCTCCCACCAAGAACATGTAACTAGCGATGGCACAGGGGTCAAGTAGTCAATAGTCTGTTGAAACATTGGCTTGACTACCTACTTTTCCTAACTAAACATTCTAACTTTGCCATCCATGTACATTCTTTGTGATTTAATTTATGTAAAAAATGATCCTTCAAAATTAGCTTGTCAAATAAAATCAAATCGATTATCGGCACAAAGAAAAACATATCAAATTAATGGTCTTCAATGTCATTCTCATTCATACAGTACTAGGCACAAAAGTAACCTTGTCACTCCTGAAATCAGACTTTCCAAATCATAAATAGTCACTTGTACTTCGGTATATTTTTTTTAGTTCACTTCCTCTTTCTAAACATGAACTACCCTTATGAGCTCTCAAATAAATACTAAGTACCAGCAAACCGACACATTATATTATTATATGACGCCGTTGTAATTTCTCGCATTTGCTCTAGTTTAACAAAATAAAACGATCTAATCATGAAAAATAACTTATCTCCTTGATATAAAACCAAACAGTTGTGCACAAATCATAAAATTAACCCTAAAATAATAGAAACAAAAATTCGTCGACACTAGCGATCAGTGTCACTAACATAAACTAGACACGAAAAACGAGCTTCAAAATTTACAACAAGATAAATAGTCTACTTATGTTAGCTAGTACAACACTCTATGCTGGTTGAGATGTTATCCACTCAAATTATAGAAATCAGTCACTGAACAAGTATGCTAAGCAAAGTAAACAAATAATATTAGTTAATTAATCCTGTTTCATTATAGCCGACTTAAAACCACTTGAAGCTTACACTTAATTTAAAATATTATGCACCTAGTGATTGTGTGTAATAGTCAACTTGTTTTAATTTAAGGAATTACGTCCAACATACTGCTTTTTAATTACTAGTTCCTGGAACCATTGACTTTTGGATATTTAATGAGACATCCAATCTACTTATATGTACTGTATGTGTTGGACTATATGTAGCCAATTTTTATCGAACATTGTTGAAAAAGCCACTCACAGTATATGTCAAGTTTTGATTTTTTCCTCTGGTTTTTGGTACAATTATTTTTGATGTGACACATGTAAATGTTTACAACAAGTTACATCAGTTTTGTATTAACTTGACTTAGTTGGTAGATTTGACAAAAATAAATAATTTCCACCAGCACCAACTGTCTGTGGCTCAATTCAACGTTCTGATTCATTCTAAAATTGGTTTACTTAAACATGGGAATGGAATGTCAGGTTCTATCTATAATCAATGGTAATTGACTCTGTATTGATTTTACCATTATTTCCATCTGTGTGGTTTTTATTAAAGTTGAAAAAGCATTAAACCAACTGTATTTTTTCAGCATCTCCATTATGCTGCCGCTGATCATCATAGGTTTGGTTGTTTCCTTCATCGTCAGCTGTGTTTGCTGTCTTTGCTGCCCTTGTTGCTGCTTCTACAGGAAAAGAAGCGGCGGAAGTAAGATTTAATTATTTTTCTCTTTTTGCCCCTCCTTCGCTTTGCAATTGTTCACCATACTTCACCTGCCTTCTCTTTTTATGTAAACATCCATGCAAGAGTAAGGCAATTTTTTGTAAATGAATTTTGTCTTACAATTTTATATCACTTTTTAATTTGCTGAAAATTAATTTTTCTATGTGAATTTGTCAGAGGATTATTTTTTTGTAATGTCAACCAATGATTTTTTATAACTTTAAAGACAGAAAACTGGATTGTTGTTAACAACTACACCAATTCAATATAAAATCTAAATAAAAATGGTTGATTGTTTCCAATAAATAAATAATACATGATATAATAAATAATGTGATAGTTAATTCAATGCTAAACAAACTTTTATCCAAACAGAATTAAACAGATATTAACATTTAAAATATTTACACAAGATAACTTAATATAAAATAGTGATGATTGTAATACCCGAATGTAAACATGGTGATTCATATGAAGTAGAGGGTGTTCACTGTTCAGTGTTTTCTGCTAATGTTTTTATTGTCACAACCTAGAGGTTTTGCCTTACTCTTGCTCTTAGTGGATTTATTTCCTTTCAAACTATATTTAGTGGAAATTGGTTTGGTGACATGTAGTATTTCACACATGGGAAACTTATTTATGTTAGTAATGAATAACTGGAAATTGCGTAACAAATGTTTAATCCAACATTCTAAATTATATTGGTTGTCTGAATAATAACATGCATGAGTGTTATATGTTTGCATGGTGAAATACAGTATTACACAACAACTTTGCAATTAACTGTAGTACAATTAATTAATGGACAGTGAACAGAATCAATAATGAAATTTCGTATACATTAAAACTTAACTAGGCATAACATCAAGTCCTTAATTTTATTTAATGAAGAATGAAAGTTATTAAGAGAGAGAACTGGGTCTATTAATTAGTTGATGCACTGATTTGGAGGTTGGATGACATCAAAGGGAAAAATTACAAGTTCTAACCCACAGATTATTTTGCATGGTAATCATCGTATTCAAATGTGTTTCTAACATTCCTAAACATGATATGAATTGTTTATCACATTACTGTAGGCCTATGTGTCATGTCAATGCTTAAAATACCAAAGGTTATATACAAATAATTTTGTAACAGATAATTTTTATCACCAAAACGTGATATTGGTGTGGAAGTTGTAAAAGTCTTGATAATTTTTATTTGAAATGTGATAATATGTTAGGCTAGGCATACATTATCTTTTGTTTAGTTTTTACTTATAAAGGTGTAGTGTTGTTATTTGTTGTATTTGTGTGGTTGACTAACCAACCACTAACATTTTTTTATTATTTGGAATATGTATATAATAGTCTCTTTCTTGGTTTGCATTCTAAACTGACTGTTTTAAACTTTAAAAAGTGAAATTTTGTCATAGCTTTTCACTGTGGAATGATTTTGTCCCTAAGATGATACGTATGTAATTTTATTTAACTTGAGTAATCCTTATTTATCCTCTTAACACTATATATTTTAGTCACTCTTGCACCATTTAAGTTTAAAGATTCTCAAGTAGCAATTTTTTATTTGGTTGTCTAAATGTTATTAATACACCAAATTATTTCCATCAAATGAATAATTTTTATTCTTAACTATATTACACCTCTAACCTATTTTTATAATGGATTTTAATCTGAATAAAAACACTAAATGCTCATGTCAATCGCATAAATTGTTAATCATTCTAAAAATGTAATTCAGAAGTAGGTGGACAACCTGTAATATGAATGCTGGCATGAAACATTGCATGTTATGCTTGGCCTAGTTGCGTAACTACCACTGGCCGTTGCTTTTAACATTTGTGTTCCTCACTTTCCCTCCTCCATAACTCATACACTCACACAAATACACACATCTTTGATGTTCCTCGGTAATCCAAGTTTGTCTAGCTGTGATATTTTAATGAGGTTTAACTTGGACAAAAATGTTCATTTTTTTTTAATTAGCTACACATTTGGCGCCCATATTTGCATTGACACATTTTAACTCAATACATTTTTTTCTGAGAAATTATTATTGGCAAAGGATGTGGTCTTATCAGTTAGGTTCTAAAGAAAATTGCATGAACTGGGAGGTGTAACAACTTTAATGGTGGAACTTCACCCTAGCACACTGTAATCTTGTTTGATTGATTGATGCACAATCATGAATGTAAAACTTGGTAAATGATAATGGTTGAAAATTATTTAACAGAATAATCATCCCAAGACCCTGTGAGGGTTAGAGGGAAGGTTACTTTGTGAGAAAAAAAATTGGGACGAGAGCCTTAATAATTCACTTTGTTTTAACAACTTAAGGTTTTATGTTAGGCGTTGTGTAACTCTTCTCAAACATAATAAATTCTGGATGATAAATTTGCCAGCCACATTGGGAAGGTAAAGTATAAGATATCTCTCACTTAGATTGTCGAGAAATGTATTTAATTTTATGGATAAAATAGGTTAAATAATTTAAGCTTCTGTAACAGAGGTTAGGATTTTTTGACAATTTTTGTTTCCGATTCCAATAAATATCAAGTCTATATATTTGTTACAAAATAGCCACAAGTATTTTTTTTATATTTATAAAACTTGAAAAAGTAAAAAACTTAAAAGTTGTCTACATTGAGGTGACCCTAAAAGTTGTGTTGGGTGTGGCATTTCATTAGAATATATTTCATTTTTACTCACAGGCGTGCAGCTGGTCTATTGTAAGACTCCTTTATTTAAACCTAAAATTCAAATCATGCCAATCATCAATGACAATTTGCTCTATGGCATTTCCATCATCCGATAATTCAGAATCCAAAGTAAGCTGTAGGTCTATCAAGAATATCATTAATCATTACTTTAATCCAAATTAATATAGTTTTTTTTTGTAATTGTTTTGGTTTGCTTGAAAATATTTTTCATAAACAAATTTAATGGTTAAATTTCATTGTTTTTTGAAAACGTAAATCTGATTATCACTTGTCGTTAAATAGTTATATAAAAAAAACTTTTAGTGGATAACACTTACGCAATTGCTCATCATCTTCACAATCAACCTTAGAAGCTATGTGGACAATATCATTCTGATTATTACTTTTCATTAAATAGTTATATCAAACAAAACTTTTAGTGGATGAAACTTGCGCAATCGCTCATCATCTTCACATTTAGACAAAAAGAAGAACCTCCCTTCATAAACGATCCCAAACCCAAACCATTGATCACCCGGAGTGAGAAGAAGGTAGAAAGTCGACGTTGGTTGCAGGCATGGAGCGGTTGCAGCTGCAACAACAACAGGTCCAGTTGCAACAACAGCAGGTGATTCTGCAACAACAGCAGCTCGAATTGGAGTTGCAGAGACAACAGCTCGCTCAACAAGCAGCTATGGGAATGGCTGCACAGTTGCCCCCACCATACACTGCATCCGCGCCTTACGAGAAAAAGATACCTTAGGTTTAGTGAAGAGACGTAACATATGCGAACATTGTTGGTACAATCTGTTTTTGAAAATGATTTTTTTTTTAGTATACAAATGATATTTTTGAATAACGAAAGAAGCTATGATTTTTTTACTTGGAAATATTATTTTGTTAATCTTATTTGTTTTGATAAATGTTTTTGACAACCTCTTCAACTTCAATTTGTCGATTTGTAATGTTAGAATTGAAAATTGAGATGGACAAATGTTTTATATATATAACTAAAAAAATTCAAGAGAATCTAAGAGAACTTTAACAAAGTATAATTATAGTTGATGCTACTGAAACTGTTAGTTAAAAAATAAAAATATAATATTGCTATGGTTCTTATAAAAAACTTTTTAAATTGAATATCCAAAAGAAAATCAGTCCTAGAAAATTTTATCTAAATTCTTCGGTTTTAGATGATATTTTTTAAAGTGTCATCTTGTGTGCTAATGTAATCTTCTGAGCCTTATATTATATTAGATTTTAAACATTTAATGCTTGTCTCTTTTGCGTTGGATTTAGAAAGGAAAAATGTATCTTTTAATCACACTATATACAAAAACCCATTTTTTAGTTGCTCAGCATGTTAGGGTTATAAACTTTTTTTTATCTTAGTTTTGTTTACGTTTCAGTCTTCAGATATGTATTTTTTATTAGCATGTCTATTAAAACATTAATTTTGTAAAATAGTTAGCTGTAATTTCTTGAATCATTGATGTTATGTTGTTTTAATCAGTTGAGTTGGAGATCTGAATATATACTCATTTTATTAGATCTGATTTATTATTGTGTATGTTCATAGTGCTATTTTCCCTCCATAGCATATTTTCTATTTTGTTACAAAATCACATTTATTGGATTAGGAAATACAAGTTGGATTAGAATCCTTAGTTTGAATTAAGTCTACTTACCAACAATTTACCAATGAAGAAAAACAATCAGTAAATGAAATGAGATTAAAATATCTTCAATCATTATTATTGTTTAACTTGGTATAACTGAGCTATTTTAATTTAATAGAGCTATTTTTTGTGGTTTAAAACCTGGTTCTTAGTTTCTTTTATTTTTTTTTATAAGGGTGTAAACAAGTTTTGAGTGTTTTAATTTGATAATCTAATTAGCTGGGGTTAGTTGTGCTCTGTCTATATGTATTAAAATACTATGCATACCGGCAATGCAAGGCGTATGAAAGAAGGTGTGTGCATAGTGACGTCAGTGCGAGTAAAACTTGTTTTATTTTACCAAATCATATGTTTTCTTGTAGGCTAATTTTCCAAAGACTTTCGAATGACAATCATTACGAATTAATTAGCATTGAATATGTAACACTGTTTAGCGTTTTATATCCAATATAGTGTTGTATTCAATATTGAATATAGTCATAGTGTTATACAGTATATTCAATGGTGGTAGTATTTTTAGTATATAGCATTTTGATAGTGAGTACCTTTTAATCGAAAAACAGTAAAGCAGTAAATATTGTAACTGTGGCTGCCTTAACAGGCAACATATTTTTAGGTGACAATATACAAATAGTTTTAAGTATAATACCTTTTTCAGCTCCTACTTATGTTTTATATAATTGAAAATCTCTCATTAAGTAGCCTTAGTGGAAAATAAATAGTTACAAATAAATCGGCAAGATTGTATTTACATATATTTAACAAAAACAGCACAAAATGGCATATAGCTTAAGTTGTAGGGATTTTATAACATTTTAATGACATACACTAAACATACAGTTCGGCCAAAACTTCTGTGCACGCGGATAGGTCGCTAGCCCAACTAAAACTTACGGATACCGGTTATTTGCAGTGCTGGGGTAGGGGTGAGTGAGTAGTTATACCTTCCGCAAAGATTCGTTCGTTCTTCGTGACGTTCCAATCCAGAGAGCTGAAACCCTACTGGACTGAGGCTGTTTTAGCACTTAGTCCTCTTCAGCCAATAAAAGATTCGTGGCGGCTGAAGGATTGTTGGTCGGGTGGTGTCCCAGCTCCCAGCCCCTAAATTAGCCCTCGCTCGGCTGCTCGGGGCTTCGACAATGAGTCACCCACTGGGCTCAATGCATAGTTGGTAAAATGTTTGTATATCACCATAATGTGTATTAAATAACGTCATTTTTGTAACCTGCATCAAATAACAAGAACATTGAGCCCAAACACGAAATAATTGCGATGATATTAAGCATACCACGACACGAAAACTGTCTATTATTTTAAAACCAAATGTATACTTCATATCGTCGCAATTATTTCGTGTTATATATAACTAAATAGTGTTATACACAAATACTAGAAAAACACATTTGTCTTTTATTAGTGGTGTTATTTATTCAATGCTAATTCGTAATGATTGTCATTCGAAAGTCTTTGGAAAATTACAAGAAAACATATGATTTGGTAAAATAAAACACGTTTTACTCGCACTGACGTCACTATGCACACACCTTCTTTCATACGCCTTGCCGGCAATGTACATATTAAAATCAAAATGTTATGTTATATTTGTTATTGAATTTGAAAATACTTAGAGCAACATACCATTAAGTAGTTTTAAAAATGAACTGTTGAACCAAGCCACTCCTTATCTGATCTCCCATTAAAAATTTAAAGACACTTTTAAAGGAAATCTTTGAAAAGTTCAAAACCCTTAGAGATAATGTAAGCAATATCACTAGTCATTTTATTTTATTAATTCTTTCTGCCAATGGTAACATTTTACATTCTTTTTCCTCATCTAAACAAAAACTACTTAACATACACACTACTACTCAGGTTAAGTGTAAGAAAGGGCCAAATGGCCTAACTTTGCCTGAAAAAAAAAAGAATTTTTAATTTCATTTCACAATGCTAACACCTTATACTTTAACATGAGTTACAAGTAACAGTCTGATGTAGCACCTCTATCCTGCTCTCCTCTTCTCACAGCATGTGCATGTGAATCATGTGTTTTGGTGTCTATCGGTAGGGGGGTTTCTTCTTTCCTGTACCAAGGTCATTCACGCCATAATTTTATTGTAAGGTTGCATCTAACTTCAGGAGTGATTCGGCAAGGTCCCATGCTCGTCACTGTTGGACCGTATGCCGTGCCGCCAACCTCACCTTACCAACCTCTTTCAGGTAACTTTATGATTATTGTCTCGGATTTAACAATTAATTTTTCCATGTGTCAAAAAAGGGTGAAAAAACTCCAAACCTTTTCACCATTTAATATAATAGTGACTGAAAGTTGGGGAAATTTTTGAAAAATGTTGACATAATCAAATCATTCTTTCTTGTTTCTATCAAAGATTTTATTTTATGGGATTGATTTAAAGGAAATTTGTTTCTATTGAGTTCCAAAAGAATATACAATTAATTACAATAACTCTTTTTTGATAGTTAGAGAAATTAAAGACCTTCAAATATCGAATGGACAAAATGTATACAAGACCTTTAATTGGGTTTAGGAAATCTGGTTCTACTAATATCCTTTTTAGCAATCTTATTTCATAGCAATGTCATCATATAAGGGGCAATTAAAAATAACAGATAATTTGAATTTCCCTTATATTTAAATATTTGTTAGAAGCTGGTGTTAAATTGTAAACAGGAAGTGTTTAGCAAGTATTGCAAAACAATTACTTATCGTGCTGATCTACAGAATGCTGTTGCATTAAGTAGGTCAGTGTGCTAATGTATTTTGTTTATAATTTGTGGGTTATGAATAAAGTTTTTTTTTTATTAGAGTTTAGAGGTTATTTCCTGAGTGACCCAAAGTAACTGTGGTAAGTCTCTTGGTAGCCCTGAGGTAAAGAGACATTACAAATAGTGAACTTCCTATCCATAATAATTAATTTACTTCATTTTTGAGCGGAGCGAACTGAAGCTCTTATACTACACTCCTGATTTTGTTTTACAAATACTCCTCCTGAACGGCGGAAGCGATCTGCACAAAATTTAGCACAGTCATAGTAACCAAAATGGGAAGGTATAAATCTGAAATGGTACAAATCAGACCACACAGCTTTTCCCTACGTGAATTTAACTGTTAGAAATTTAACATGGGCCTTATAGGTTAATTGGTCACCATGCATTATTTGCGAGATTTCAGTAAAAAGGTAAACAAGAGTCGCAACATATGTTAGTCAACGCATCATCTAAAATAGCACATTACAAATACCGTACAGAGAAAAAGGTAAGAACAATCGGATTAATACCATTGATCATAATTCACTCCTAACTAGGCTGGTGCACCATTGACTTTGAATACTCTAAATAGCTATTCCATTTATGTGATCCTAAACCATATACAGTAGACCCTCTCTTAACCGACCTCGTATTAACCGATAATTGGATTATCCGCCTTCCATCGTAAAATATCACAGTTTGTTTTAACCGACCTTGCTTTGAGAGCAGTTCGGCTTAGCCGCCGCTTTCTAGGAATCTCGGCATTTCCGCTCCCACGCTGGGCGATGAGAACCGAACCATACGCTTATCTCCACAGGATGTGACTAAGAATAAATTATTTTGCATTGATCACAAAAAATATAGCATATTGTCAGTTTGTCATCATCGTTTATAGTGCGAGCACATCCTGATCTGATTTGTTATCTGTGCGGCAAATTTATAAAATCGTAAAGTGCGTTACGATTTTGAGAACTGATTATCGTATCGCTAGAGTAAACAAACAATGCAACTTGTAGGGAGGGCAGGGAAGGGGGGTTAGAACTAAAGTTATTAAAATAGGAATTTTTATTGACTCTTGCCTAGTAATATAATCTATTCCACTTAAAGTAGGCCTATTTGACTTAACGGTGTTTAGTGTTTATTTATGACTTTTCTATCAATAGGAAAAAAAGGAGATAAGAGTAGTTTATTTTATAAATAATAGAAGTATGACTTCAAAATAATGATTATATAATTCAAAATTTATAACACTTAATTATGTTATGATTTTAGGGATTGCCCGTTTTAACCGACCTTTTGAGTTATCCGACCTAGGTCCGGTCCCATTAGGGTCGGTTAAGAGGGGGTCTACTGTATATGCATATCATTGATTTTGGATACTGCACAAGTAGACTTTCCATTTACATAAACCAGACGTACCATTGACTTTGGATACTGCAAATAGGCACTCCATTTATGTGAATCAAATGAACCATTGACTTAAAATACTGCAAGTAGACAACTCATTTACATGAACCAAATGTATCATTGAGTTTGGTTACAGCAAGTAAACAATTCATTTACGTTAACGTTAACCAAATGTACCATTGAGTTTTGATACTCCAAGTAATCAATTTGTTTACGTGAACCCGGCGTATCATTGATGTGGAGTACTGCAAATCGACATCTTATTTATGTGAGCCAAATGTATCATTGACATTGGATATTGCAAGTAGACATTTAATTTATGAGAACTAGATGAAACCATTGACTATTGGATACAGAAGAAGACATCCCATCTATATGGATCAGCTGTCGCCAATATTTTACTAAAAAAGAATGTAGTTGTGTGAGCCAGTCACAGATTGCGCTAGTGTCTAAAACTCTATTTTGTACCTTATTTTTCGTTACTGACATAGTTGCTGGGTCACAACAGTTGCTATAGCTCATAATAAGTCTTTCCATCAGTTTGACTTGGTAAAAAGCATCATGTAATTGGCAGAAATCAGTAATTAAGATCAGCGCATTCTGTAGGTGGTTCACATCAACTAAGACAAATTTGATTAAAAACCTGGCTACAACTTTAAGGCATTGTACACCTATAGGTCGGCCGGTTAGAAAACGAGCTGCGCGAAATTTTTAGCGCCGGGGAGGTAACGGTGAGGGAGGGTAGGTTCCCCCTCTCCGCCAATGGCCGTTTTCACACTGCACGACACGACACCGACACGGCAGCGCCCTGGTGTCGTGGGAGTTGGAATCCTGTGTTACCAAATGGAACTGCTTACACAATGATATAATAACATTTCATGATGCTCAAATATTGATGCGATTTAGGTTATACAATATTTTTTGCAGGACCTATTTTTCTCAAGTTATGAAGAACGTAATTGTTTACATTTTGATCAGCTGTATAATCTAAATTGATTAGCTGTGTTCGGGAAGGTTGGGGGTGGGGCGGCAGCGGAGTGGGGGAAGAGCCATAGTCTGTCTCACTCCCACAGCTCGGTATCTCTCTCTCGCACCAATGCTACGAGGAGGACGCATTCTAACCGGCCGACCTATAGTATTTTTTATTGCTCTTGAAACTTTGTCAGTAATTCTTACAGGGTTTCTTTTTAGTTTGTCAAAGTTAAGTACCGTACTTCGACTTCAACAATATTCATGTATGTGCAAGCTCAAAATGGCTTTTTGCTCAAGTTGGCCAGAATATTAACCTTGATATTGCCTGCATCCTCACTACATATGTTCACTTACTAATATCAGCTGATCTAGACTTAACATTTACACTTGACAGCTGTTTGTCTCCACTTGTCTGACAATGTATTAATTAATATAATCACCATATATTACTGACTACATGGTACGATATTTTCAACTGAACTTGTTATTGTCACTAACAACAATAACAAAAGTTGTTAAGTGTGTAAGTTGTTAGGTTCAACTGTGACACTATTCATGTATGTAAAATGCATAAATTGAATGAAGATAATTGGATTTGATTTGATTTGTGTTCATATTTTTAGATGCTAAACTTTAATGTGTTCAAAGTATTGATTTATGTTGTAATTTATTTTCAGATGGCCGCAATGGGTGGACCGTCGCCTAAGTACAACCAAATACCTACTTACTTCTTGGACGAAGCAATCAAAATTGGTCTTCCTTATATTCCAGTGTTTGGTTTGTCCACCCTAGTATTGCTTAGCTACTAGTTTTATTTTTTATTTTCACTGTATCTCAAAAGCACTATCCAACTATTGTATGTTAGGTTTATATTCCTACTTTAGGATATTATTTTATAGTATTACATAATATATATATAGGTGTCACAATGTGATTCTCAAAAAACTTTTTGGCCATATTTTGATGTTGTAAAATGTATACCTACTCGTTTAAAATATTAACCAGTAGTTCGGGATAAGAATGTTACTCAGTATGATTGTAATAAATTGCAGTGTAAGTTATTTTACATGTATCGAGCATTTATGACACAAGCTTCCCAGACAGTAGTGAACGCAGCAAGTATTTGTGCCAAATGGAAATTAATCCGTTGCATTTTAACTGTAAGCATAAGCATGGTTACCTTTGTGAATTTCGTTCCTAAGAACATTCCTGGATCAACAAGTTTTGTGGAAGCTGGTTATTTTTATTAAAGCGTAAGTCGACTAGAAAGCTGCAGGTCTTTGTGCCTTAATGCTTTCTCTGTAGCTTTTAGGGTTTATTTGGCTTTTTTTCTATAGTATATACAAATATTCTTATACTCAACTGCTAGATATATTTTTAGAGCCATGTCATGTCATTAATACTCAGATTTCGAGATTTGTAAATCATTTTTGACATTTTTATACTTCTTTGAAGGCATTTACATGAGATTTAATACAATAATTTGTGTGCCTACTCACAACGATATACAAGAACATTGTCTGATATTATAAATTAGTTTTGCCAAATAAACCAGTTAATTTTAATTGATTGTATATTTATTTACCTAGCATGTATGTTTACATTATTTGTAATTTCTTATGTTTACATTTTGGTTTGTTCTAAATTAAAATAATTTTCACAATGAATATTGAAGAGTTGTATTATCTTTTCCTTTGTTGCTAGCAAAACATTTTGTTGTAAAACTGTGTAGTGAATGCAATACTTATGTTATTTTATACAACTTACAGTATTGTGTATTATTGTGATGGAGTTGACGTTTACAGGTCTGTAAACTGCAAGTTATCTTATTTCTACAAAAGGTCAACCAATTGGACCTAAGTGATTTAAACCATCATAATCAGATTGTTACTGAATTACTGTAATTCTAAACTGTAATTTCGTTTTGAGAATGTCCTATTTAAAATATTATGAGAAGAATGACAAAGCAAACCTGTACAATTAGTATACTTTGTACATTATGTCTTAATGAACCAACATCCATTATTCGTTATGTAATACATTTTTCACCACACTATGTTGTTTTTAGCTGTTGTACATCTGTTAATTGGTGGCTGAAAGCTACGTTTTGCTGGCCTTTGGGGACCGAGCAGGTTTTTACATCGCTAGGGCCGCAAAATCATCTGTCCACTTACTTTCTTAAAGAGTGAATGCATATTAAATACACAATCAGTATCACCATTGCCTAGCAACTATTTATTATTATTTTTGCTGTTTCCTCAAATGGTTTCTTCAGTTAACCTTAAAGTTGTAGTTGTGTTGACTGTTAGTGTACATTCTTGTTGTGGTGAAGTGGTAATAAGGTGTAGTGTGGTGAAAAATAGCGTTTGTACCACGGACCGAAATGGTTTTGCAGCTCTCGATCGTTTTCTTGACTTTGTCTCGAACTTAACTATCTCGAGCCGGCAAAACCTCATTTTCGGCCCTAGGTACGAAATATACTATTATTTTTCTGGGATCTACAACCTTTTGCTGTTTTCAATATACATGTTTTACAGGGCTGATGTAGCTATTTTTCTCTCTTATGCAATAAACAATGAGCTGGAGTCAAGGACATCAACTTCAAACTTTTCTTGCTTTCAAATTCGCCCTCTGATTTTTCTGAAGTAAATAGTTTCATATTAACAAAAATACAAGAACCTAACACCCTTAGGGGCCATACACATTATGTAACTCACTTGAAGGGGGGTATAGCATAGCTTAACGCTACAAAAATAATAGTAAAAATCTTGTTTGTTTTTTTTATTTTGCTTTGATAATAAAAAGATTAACAAACAAAAGTCATTACAGTACAAGTTCAATGATTTATTTAACTCCATATTCCATTAGACAAATTATGCTTTAGCTATTATTAAAGTCTACTACGAGTTACGTAACGCAAGGGAGGTGGGTTGGGGGGTTTGCTCAAGCGTTACGATTCATTTCATGGGGGAGGGTGAGGTTTAAAATTATGAAAAAGTGTGTTACGTAATATGTGTATGACTCCTAATGCAAATTAAGCTGGAAAAGGAAATCTTTAATTTAATTTGTTGAAAGCTTTAGACTGGTGCTGGACCATACATTCAGAGGAGTGTGACAGCTGGGAAGGAACCCGTTGGAATGTTTTTAGTTACTTTGACTGTGTAAAATAAGGGGTAAAATATTCCAAATTGCTTCATGTAAACACAGTTGCATTAAGTGTAAACTTTGGATACACAGGGAATTTACAAAACAAGACACACAACCAATCAAACGTCCAAGTTTATAAATCTTGGATTTATTTACTAAGACCGATGAGTTTATCGGTTTACTAATTATTAAAAAAATAAACTAACTGTGAAGAGTGTTTAGAACTAATATAATTATAAATATAATTTTATAATTATTAATTTATATTATTAATATATTAATTATTAATTTATAGATATAATTTTAAATCTACGAAATTGAGTGGAGTTATCAGGGCATTATAGTATTATTAAACTAAGTAGTATTAAACTCGCCTCCCATCAGTTTATTCAGTCACCGCCACTGAAAGGGACAAGTCAAAAAACAAAAATTATATCTGTGGAGTTTTTTTTTACGTTTACTTACAATATAATCAGCAAACTGTCACATACTTTCTCCCATTAGCTCGCCAACCACTCTAATGGTAGTAATGTAATAGGTCAAATAAAATAAATTGCAATAACTTTTTAATTGTAACTTACATCAATGGGGGTTATTCCATTTTGTTTAAAGTTTAAAGGACCATAACATACTAAACTTAAAAATCATAAATCTAATTATAAAAACTTCTCCTTCCCTAGTAATAAAACCAAAAAGTAAAGCACCAATCAAGAAATTAACCCTAAAATAATAAAAACAAAATTTCTTCGACCCTTGTTGTCGAATCTTAATCTTGACCCTAATTTGATAATTGAATTGAATTGAATTGTCGGCGCGATGTTACCGCGTATGTTCTGTGACACGAAAAACGAGCTTCGAAATTTATAATGGGATGAGGATGAGAAGTCTACTTGTGTTGGTTAGTCTATGGTATTATAGAGGGAAAAAGTAAATACACCCGCTGCAGCAAACCTGCCGACTAAGCGAATTTCCATTTGCCTGGTTTGATTTTCAATTAATCTATAAATTAACATTTATGTTTAACGAGTACCTATAGGTTAGCTGCTACAGGGAAACTGGCTGCACTTTACTTTAGGTCCTACAAACAACCGAATGAAAATATCGATTATTTCATTTGATATCGTTTGGATAGGTTAGGTTAACCTTACCTAACTAACCAAACAATATATCAATCGATATTTTCATTCGAACGAGTGTAGGACCTAAAGTAAAGTGCAGCCGGGAAACTATTAAAGTGTGTTTTTTAGCGAATTTCCCATATAGGGAATATTAGCGAATTTCCCATATAGGGAATATTAGCGAATTTCCCATATAGGGAATAAGCTATTACCGTAGTACTCATGGTAAGACCTGGACCCGAGACCGATTTAATTTTTCATTTTGAGGTCCCTAGAGGCCAAAAACACCATCCGTTCAAATTCATATATATATATATATATATATATATATATATATATATTTATATATATATTTATATATATATATATATATGTGTCCGTTAGCGCGATAACTCGAGCAAAAATGATCCGATTTTGATGAAATTTGGTACAAACGTGTAAACCTACGTTTATTCGAACGAGTTCGCGATCCAGCATAATCGGACCATGGGAACGGGGGTTTATGGGGGGTTTTATGGGGTAAAAATGGGTTTTTCCCATTTTTGAACCTAAAAACAAAAACTTTTGCGATTTCTTTCTAAACCGTTTTGTAGAGCTTAAAAAAAGAAATAATTTAGTATATTGAAGCGCTGTTGTATGCCTAATGGTCACGGAGAAAATTCAAAAATAGTGTAATTAAAAATTCCCATGTTATTCTTAAGGAGAAAATGAAAATTGTTGTAGTTTACTTGTTTATGGGTATATATTGATAAAATTTGGCAAATTTATTTATTTCATCCTATACTATTGACGTATGGTCAAAAAACACTTTTTACCTTCCCCGTAGCAGCAAACCTAAGCACTCGTTAAATCTAATGTTATTTAAATAGGGAATAATATGTCTTATTTATGGAAATATTTTAGTAAAAATGTAATCAGACGAGTTGAAATTCGCTTAGTCTGCAGGTTTGCTGCGGCGGGGGTATTATTAAAATATCAATAGCTTATTAGTATGAAATAAATAAATCTGCCAAGTTTGATAAAAATATATACATAAACAAGCCAACTATATAATTTTACAATATTCTCCATAAGAATAACATGGGAATTTTAAATTAAATTTTTGTTGAATTTTCTCTAACCAATCACTGTACAAAAACACTTTGATATATACTAAATTATTTGTATTTTTAAGCTCTTTAAAATGTCTGGAGAAAAATTGATACTTTTTGTGTTTCAAGTGTAAAAAATGAGAAAACCCCATTTTTACCCCATAATACCCCCGCCGCAGCAAACCTGCCGACTAAGCGAATTTCCATTTGTCTGAATTGATTTTCAGTTAAATATATTTTAATAACATTAGGTTTAACGAGTACCTAGGTTTGCTGCTACAAGGAAACTAATAGAGTGTGTTTTTGAGTAAAATATTGATAGCTTAGTACAAAATAAATAAATTTGCCAAGTTTGATCAAAATATATTCATAAACAAGCAAACTACAACATTTGACAATATTCTCCATAAGAATAACATGGGAATTTTAAATTTACAATTTTTTTAATTTTCTCCGTTACTAATATTCGAACAAAAATACTTTTATATACTAAATTATTTGTTTTTTTAAGCTCTTTAAAAAGGTCTAAAGAGAAATTGGGAAATTTTGTGTTTTGAGGGTCAAAAGTGAGAAAAACCAATTTTTACCCCATAAAACCCCCCGTAAAGCCCCGTTCCCATGGTCCGATCGTGCTAGTTCGCGAACTCATTCAAGTTTATCCCTCTTTACACCTTTAAACCAAATTTCATCAAAATCGGACAAACATTACTCAAGTTATCGCGTTCACGGACGTGTATATATATATATATATATATATATATATATAAGTCTATATATATATATATACATATATAAAAATTTGAACGAATAGTGTTTTTGGCCTCTGGGGACATCAAAATGAAATTTAAGTAAATCGGTCCTGGGTCTAGGTCTTACCGTGCCACCTACGGTAATAGCTACTTCCCTATAGGGAAATTCGCTAAAACCCACCGTTAAACCCCGTTCCCATGGTCTGACCATGCTGGTTCGCGAACTTATTCAAGTTTATCCCACCTTGCACCTTCAAACCAAATTTTATCAAAATCGGACAAAAATTACTCAAGTTACCGTCCGGACGGACATATCAAATCAAATCAAATCAAAATATACTTTAAAATTCAAAAAAATTCAACAGAATAAAATATAAACAAAATCTTCCAGTGAAACAGACACCTTACTTGCTATTGCATGGATAAAATAAATAATTATAAAAATGCATGTAAACTTAATAATAATAATAACAAAGGATGGAAGGTTTCAGAGAAAGCTATGTTAAATATAGTCATTTAGGAAATAAGCCTACATGGGCAGGGTGCCTGTGTGTAGGCTCAGTCGCTATCAGTGAATTACGTATTTGTTGGAAATCAATAATATTCATAAATATTTAGAAAATCTTAAAAAAACAAGTAATTTAATATAATTGTAAAGTACCGTCAACTATTCTGAGGCTAAATTAGTGAAATGAGCAATTTGAGGAATGAGGCATATATATAGAACTAAACATATAGGTACACAAATTTGAACGAAATTGTGTTTTTAGCCTTTGGGGACATAAAAATGAAAAAGTAAATCGGTCCGGGCCTAGGTCTTACTATGAGACTTACGGTAATCTACTTCCCTTACATCTTACATATGTCCTCTTCATCGCAGTCGTAGAGACTGGAGAATCGTCATTTACTACTTTCTCACTTCTTCTTATAGTAGCCCTATGTAGTAGTTGTGGTCTTCATAGAACTCTTTGATGGTGTAGTATGGTCTTTGAAGGAGGTAGTTTTTTAGTGCAGCAGTGAATTTTTTTGTGTTATTTATTACCACCATGTTATTACCCTGTAGGGAAATCCGCTAAAAAGCAAAGCAAAACTTTACAGGTACGAGGTACATAGCAAGAGTAACACAAAAATTAAAATTAACTGAGCTAAAACAACGATTTTGACTAAGCTTAACAGTAAGAGAGACTGAAACAAACAAACTTTTAATGAAGAAATAGAAATAGATACAACTTTGGGATAAGATAGAGTGAAAGGCAAAGGTTAATATGTTGGTAAAAAAAAAAAACCAGGAGTTTTCAACAATTGTTCATAAGAAGGTAAATTACAAGAGGGCGAGCGAATATATTGACAGAGTAAAGCACATTAGAGACTCTACCTAAACTTTTCACTAAAACAGGATTAGGAATAGGATTAGGCCATAGACTAGGCCTATAGCTTTGAACAAACACATACACTATTTTCTTAAACTCAACTCGGTTTGGCTCACATTGAAGAGAGTGAGCACTTGTACTGCAACTGCATTGCATTTTCCAATCTCATCGAACGAAGAATTATGCTGTGGTCTTGATTTTATTTGAGTAAAATATGCCAAACAATACTGTCTTCTTAATTCGTTATAATAGTGACAGTGATCATGAAGCACTAGAGCATGCCTGCAAAGTTTTGTGAAGTAATTTTGCTCTTAAATAGCTGCAGTATATTTAATTAACATTACAGCGCCTTATAATCGATGGCTTTACTTGATAATTTCATGTCAGACTGTCTCACTTGACAAGTGAAGGGAAATCCTCAAGCAAGAATCAAAAACAGCAACAGGTGGTTTCTGGTTTGTTTTGTTTACTGTTGTTTTGTTGTTTCGGCTGCACTGGAAGCAAGGAAGGAATTTTGAAACGTCATTCAATCAATTCAAGTTAATATGTTTGTTTGTCATAGCCTAGAGCATAACTTACGAGTAATTTAATTAGTAAACACTCACCCTTAGTAATCCATCCATGAATTTAGTTTGTGTTATTTTGCCATTAGGTACATTCTTAGCTTACTGAGACTCTTACGTTAAGTCAATAAGTTACTGATAATGATGACTTCTTTAAACAAACTTCTATTTAATATTTTTGCAACAACCAAAAAGCTAAAATTTAAGCCTGTCCATCATAAAGCTCAACATTTCTCAACCTCAAATGCTGGATTTCTTTACAGGAGTTTTAAGATTTCCAAAGTAAGAAAGCTTACATAGGGTAATGTATTTCACTTAGTTAGCCTATATGACTAATCACTTAAGTTATGTGAAGGTTTTAACTTAACTAGGTAACTTAAGGTACAGTTAATAATAGACCTAGGTCTAAACTATCCAAAATGATAAATATAACAATGTACATCTTGCTATGATCATATGTATGTACCACGAATCGGTATGTAAGTTAAGTGTACTATGATAGAATAGTCGATGATAAAAATGAACAATCAACTACCGTAGTAAGTACAGTTGTCGCAGCTAGTCTGGGCGCGCGGACCCTTGTGTACTAACCGTCCCCCGCGCCAAAGCCATGAAGACAGCGCTGAGGCACTGAACAACCCTAGAGAGCCGTGTGGGTCAGATGTTTTTGGAAATGAGCAATAAACACTCCCCTCTACACCCCGCACCATAGCGCGGCCGCGCGCCCAGACTAGCTGCGACTACTGTAGATAGGCCTAAGTTAGGCCTGTACAAACTGTACTAATGCCGTATTTAAGCTATTATATAGTTATATAACTTGCTTTACAGTACACGTAACGGTACGGTAGCGTAAGTTAATTTGTACTCATACAAGAAATTATTTAGGTAACTTAATCTAGCCTCCTTCTAAGAGCTTCTTTGTGTAATGATATCAATCACGGACGTCACGTTAAAATAATAATTTTTTCCTTATTATTATGCTAAATAACGTCCTGAATTAAAATATGATTGTCATTTTCCACGAAAAAGTAGGCTACCGTTTCCCGGAAAAACGGGAAGACAACATTTTTGCCGAAATAGATCATGTGGGTGTCACTCAAATTAACCGGTAGAGCGAGAAGAACAAGAATTTTCTGAACAAGATCTGATGGATATTAACAGAAATATGGCCTGTAAAATCAAGCTAGGGCCTAGTGCCAAAATTACCAAAACTAGATTAGATTAGGTTAGGTACGGTTAGATTAGATTAGGTTGGGTTCGGTTAGGTAAGGGTGGGTTAGGTTATGTTATCAATAAAATGGGTAAGTATTGTTAGTAACCTAACCCAACATAACCTAACCTAACCCAACCTAATATAACCTTTTCCCGGAGCCTAATCTAACATTAACCTAACCTAAACCTAAACGAACCAAACCCAACGAAACGAATCTAAACTAACCTAACCCAACGTAATCTAACCTAACCCAATAAAACCAAACCTGACCCAACCTAACCTAGTTTTGGTTATTTTGGTGGTAACTTGTTTATCCTACCCTTTTCCGGTCGTATCTCCGTTAATATCCATCGGATCTTAAAAATTCTTACACCTTCTTGTTTAGCTCACTCTACCGGTAAATTTAAGTACTCACATGACATATTTCTGCAAAAATGCGGTTATTTTCCAGTTTTTACGCTTCAACGCACAGCTTGAATTTTTTCTTGGTAATAGTTTAACCATCAACATACAGCACCGTGCACTATCATTAGTGTCAGACAATTCACGTTCTAATTTACTTACAGTATCAGCATAAAACACTGAACATAAGTACGGTAGGCGAAAATCGCACATGGTTATAAAACTCACTTAGGTTAGGTTATACGAACCACCAAAATATACTGGTTGGTATCAAAATTTTTTATATTTTTGGAGTTTGATTGTTCTTTCCCTGCATCCTTCATGTGGTACATCTTTAAGTTATTAGTTAGAATGCTATGATAACTTGCAATCAAACAATTGTAACTGAACATTTTATGTTTAAAATTCCACTGGTTAATAAAAACTGCTTATCTTGCTGTTGTTACAGAATCCCTTCTTGTTCATAAGTTTATTCTTCATCAAAAGCAAACGGCCTTTCTTGTTACTTTGGGGATTTCCATTCTTGCCCTCAAAGGAAGAGGATGACAATTCAAATGCCATACAACCCAAAAATGTCAATCTCAAGAAACAAACTCAAAAAGCCGTTGTTCAGTCTGATGAACTATTCAACTTAAACAAGTTTGAAGAAGCTGCTTCGACTCTTCTTCCATTTCAGGTTTGTGTTAAGTATAGTTGACAATGGAATTTCCCTGTTTGGCAGATTTCATAAGAAGCAACATTTAATGTCAAATTGTGGTTTTTGGATGATGACCGTCGTGACAAACTTGACAAAACACTTTTCTTCACCAAAGTTTCGGACTCAATACACAGTGCCATCCTCAGGGCGACTTGACTTCCACTTAATGACTAATCACTTGATCTTTGTGGAAAAATGTTGTTTTGTCAAGTTTGACACAGAGTTCTCCCCCAAAAGGAACGATTCTACAATAAGTAACTGTTGAAGATCACATTCTACTACGACCTATAAAGTTACATGTTTTCTAATCATAAATACCTACCTTTTCAAACTAAAAAAAAACTTTCTAGGCTATTGAAAATAAACGTGGATCTTTCTGTTCTGTGTCTGGTACCTCAGCACAAGAATGAGTTGTGGTATGGGCTGAAACCACAAATAGTTTCTGGTACCACTATTTCAGGTACTTTGGTATTATACGGAGGCCATCCTTACAGCGCACTGCGGCGGTTATGTTAGGTTGGGTTATCCTAAATATGTTTTTAGGACTTTTCTTGTTTCATTATGAACCAAACAATACCAGATGAGTCCTACTTTCGCTCGCCAAATCTCCTCCAAGTAGGCCAAGGTGAGGTTATTGACTTGAGCGTCCGCATCACCTGTCACCTGTATCTGGTGTGGTTGTGGTAGCTAGCTGCGGCGACTCATTCAACTCAATCCTCACCGACATCGCTGTCTTCTGGGAGACAGAACTCAACGGCCGCTAATTGTAATCATGTTAAATTTGGACAGTAAGTATGTTCTTTCCATTTATGACACCCCAACCTAACATAACCGCCGCAGCGCACTGTATAAGGGTGGCCTCCGGATAATACCATATTTAAATACAAATCATATCCTGTGTGCTTATCCTGTAGAATGATTTGTGTCATTTGGTGTTGACTTCTCCAAAAATGTTGAACAGTTTTATCTTGATATGTTTACGGTACACACATTCAGACTACTATTACTATATTTCTATTAATATTATTGCACCTACTGACAAGCTGTAGCCTATTTTTATTCACAAATAACATGCTGTAAATATGTAAGCAAATTAATTTTTCTCCCTTATAGGATGGACGGGTCTCGAAATTACGGGAAATTTTAAATCTCTTTCTACGAGACAAGATTAATACTTTAATATTTTTGAGCGTGTTGATGTTGCGTTTCCTTTGCAAAGGCATTCCTTATTTAGTTTAGTTATTAATTCTTTTCATGTGAATATTGCTTTAATTGTTTTATTATATTTTGTTGTGACATAGCAAATGATGAGAAGTTTTGTTAGTGTAAGCAGTGTGAGACATGTTTTACTAGGCCTACTGTAAACATAACCCAAAATAAGTCACCCCAAAATCATTCTAAAAATACACAAGACTGAAAAGTTGTTACTGAATACTTACTAGTAAGACTGTTGTTTTAGACTTATAAATTTAGTATTCTTCAAAGTTGAACTATATTCTAACTCATATCTCCATGTTTATATTTGTTTTTTTTATACTGATGCTTTTTATTAATGTTTTTTGATAAACTATTTTAAATATTTTTGTATTCATCCAGTCTGTCATAAATCAGTAGGTTTTTAAAAATGTTATAAAAATCAGGTTAAAATGTGGAACGTGCATTTCCTGTTATGTATGAGAAGGGAAATCTCGATCTCGTCTCGAAATTTTATGAGAAATAAAAATCCCGTCTCGTCTCGTCTTGAACTAAAAATTCGATCTCGTCCATCCCTACTCCCTTAGTTTTTGACACAGTTAATGTGACGTAAAGATTAACCTGTGCGTTTGCTAACCACATTAATTTTCATTCTAAACCAGACTACAACAATATGGGAACAGAACATCTAGTTGTATTCATAATCAATACTTTGTGTAGGACGCTGGGGATGTAGAAGTGCTATGGCGGCTAGCTCGTGCGCAGTATAAGCAGTCGCAGCAGTCGGGAGTGGTAGAACCACAGCGACGTCAGCTGATAGAGTCAGCGTATGACGAGTTGTGTATTGCGATCACACACGACCCCGACCACTGGGCGGTCCACAAGTGGATGAGTGTGCTGCTTGACGCAAGATTCACCTACGATGGTGTGAAGGCGAGGGTCACTCAATTGTCTAAGGTTAAGGAACATATGCTGGTGAGTTAACAATATTAACAATGCAATGTATGATTTTAAGCCTTTATATTATTTACCTTACGAAATACTAATGGCCAACATACACTTCATACCTACTTGACTTAATATACACAGTTGTATTGAAAAACCAAAGGTGAAAATTAAATACAATCATGCCGGTGTTTTATGGTTGACTGGTCATCTTTAGTGACGGCAATTGTTTTATCGATTCAAAATGTTATGGAATACTTCTGCATTTGAAATGGCTACATTCAAAAATTATTTAAGCGTATGATAATATCATTTAGGGAATCAATTAAAGAAACATCTAATTATCATAGCCTACAAATAAACTAAATTTGGGGTCTACAGTTAGAATTTTTAAATTACAATAGGTTTTTTTTTTACTTCTTTACACATGTGACTGACACTTCACAAGATTATTTCAGGTTCTTTTTAACAGTCCAACACAAACATATTTTGGGTCCATTTTGACACTATTTTGCGTTTAAAGTGGGAAAATTCTAAAACTGAACTGATGTAACTCGAGGAAAATTAGAAAATGCATAAGACAACAGGATATAGATACTTTTCATTGTTTGTAGGCCATTGACACTGACTGACTACTAGCAAAAAAAAAAACAAAAACAATTTAAATTATGAATCAGGCATGAAAAAGATCAAGTTGGACGGATTAAACAATGTTATTGTTTACTTACAGTATACAAACAGTCTATTTGTGTTTGCAACAAGAATATATTTTTGTGAATGAATTAGTTTGAATACTGTGTATAATATATTTGATACAGAATCATATTTAAACTTTGATATTCATTCTAAGCAGAGCTAAAAATATAACATTCTGCATTATTAGTCATCTAGATGTCTCCAAGGGAGGTGATGTTGCAAGGGGTAAAATCCAAGCCTTATCTTAATCCAACATCTAATATTGCAACTAAAACTCTTCTGTTCAAACATGAACACAATTAATAATTTTACTTAACGCACTGCTATGACCAGCTATTCTAATTCAAGTTAAAATTTTGGCCTAAAAATGTCCATGGTGAAAGACAGAAGAGTCGTCTTTCACCACGTCAGCTTCATTTCTTGTTAGAATGTTTGCGGACCAATTATTTGTCAAATAAAAATGTTAAACTACCATAAATAAATAAGATTGAATTATAAATTAAATTATTAGTTGGATTGTCTATAATCCAGCAGAATAAACTAGGACCACAAGGAGAAAACATGTTAATTAACCTTTTTATATGCCAACATCTACAAGACGCAGAGAGTTCATTTAAGTAAACAAGTGCCTTTTAAACATATTGTCTGACTAGAGACTACTTGAGTGGTTAAAAGTATACGCTATTAAATTTCATTGATGTCATTACATTGAATTGAGTTTTTAATTGTTATTCTTACTTTCATTCTGTTTTAGAAAGCAGCTGAGTTAAACCCAAGTGATGCTACAACCCTGTATATGATTGGATCATGGTAATTCTTTTTTTTTTTTTGTTAACATTTTCTCACTTTCAACTCTTCTCTCTTGTTTTGGCGCACTAATGTTATGGAATATAAAATAAAAATTGACACTGAAATTGTGTTGGAATAAAACGTGAGCAATGAGCTCTTAGGCCTACCCAGAAATAAATCAAAAGATCGTTTTATATTAAATGAGATTAAAAATAGTTTAATTTTATAACGAGCTGTTGGCCCGTCCTACGTACGGAAATCAAGTAGTCAATTAAAACGGAATAGTTCAGAACATCTAGTTAACACGCACATTGACAAATTCTGGCAGTTTTAATGGGGGCCAACTGCCCCCAAAACAACCTAATTAACAATTAATTGTTATTTTTTAGTTGTTGACCTTATTAACAAATGTCACGTGACTACCTGTTTCTTCCATCCGATTATAGACCTAAAATATAGCGATAAGCATTTTAAATTCGATAATTTTACCATAAAATTGCAGTTGCGTCGATTTGAAAAGACTTGAAGTGAGATTGGAGACCGATTCACACATACTGGTACTGAGTAGAGTTGCTACTATTGCATATACCACTTATATATGCACTTACCGCACCTTTACCTCCGTGACCACAGACTGACACCTTATGAGGATTCTGGCCACCCATTCTTTTCCATCCCCTGTCTCTTCTAATTAAGATCCCGGTCTGAGGATGTATTTCATAACTTGGTCTTTCCACTTAATTCTTGGTCTTCCAAGTGGTCTTTTATCTTGTGGTACTATGGAATATACTTTTAAAAGTTTATTTATCTCCTATCCACCACGCATAGCCTGCCCATCCACGCCTTTTACTTCTGGAAAGCACCCCTATATCTGGGTGTTTACATATTTCTCTTAGCTCTCTGTTTGTTTTTATCACGACCTCCGTTATCTTGAACTGGTCTGTATATTTTGTCTGCACTTTTCAATACTACGGGGAGAGTTATGGTATGGTATGAGTCGACTTTGGTTTCTATTGCACCTTGCAGCTCATTGGACAGTTTTAAGAGACCTACTACACCAATTGACGCTTTCATTACTAACCAAAATTATAGTATGACTCACATACATTCGGACATACAGAAAAAGAAGTATCAACACGTAAACCACTTATATCTTAAACGATTAAGCAATACATTTCTGAAAAAAGATTTCCCAAATATGAGATGAAATGTCCATGGCATAAACTAAATAACTTACTTACACAGTTTGCATTTACAACAAAACTTGATTTAAACTGTTTGAGATGTATAGATCAAAATAACACATTTCCTGATAAAGCAGATCCTTCACGGTAAAAAAAAACTAAATTTTAAAGTGAAATAGTATGCAGGCCAACACCGAAGAACAATATTTTTGTATACAAACAACTTGTAACATAAACATTTCAATGACAGTTTATAACCAGCTGTTAGTTTAACCAGCACTGAAAATACTTTGAATTGCTAGCGTCGGCTGCTAGACTTTTTAAAAATTGAAACTTAATTTCTAAAAAACTGAAACCCTAAATTAAAATTATGGCTTTGACATTCCCTAGTTCTCAAAATTATCTTTCTTTCAACACAAAAATCATGAAAATCGGTCAAGTGGTTGATTCAGAATCGTGAAATAAAAAAACCCTGTTTCGTTTTAATATTATAGATGATTGACTTCAGCTTCTATTATATTTCAAATAGATTTTCCACCGACCTTGTAGTTGTAGAAAGGTGTTCACGGCTGGGGTACCCCACCTGCTGGCGTCATGTCGTCCTGTCCAGGATTGCACTGCACACTTTTTAAAGTCTTTAGAAATAGTTTATGTACACGAAAAAATAACTTAAAAACTCACTTCTTGTTATAAAAAAGCAAAACAAAAAACGATCTTTTATGGCCTAATGAGGGTTGAATTTGATTGGTAATGAAATATATGATAAAACGGTTATAGCGGTGAGCGTATTGCTGCATGAAAAGTGACTTAATGTCGAGAGGAGTAGTAGCGGACTGTGCCGCGGCCGGGCATCGTACGATGGAAAAGTACAAAGGTCGGGAAATTCCATTCTTATCGGCCGGACATGGGTTGAAAGATAAACGGTGAAACGAAAGCTCAGGGCAATGGAAACTATGCATTAAAAATAAAAATAATATACTATACTAAATGAAATTGATATCTAACAGAAATGTTCACACAATAAGAACTGTTTATCAAATTAACACTGAAAATTTGATTCGATAGTGGACTGATGTAAAGTAATGTAATATATTGGAAACTAACTATAATGCGATTCAAGGACCATGCACAAACCATGTATTTTGCCTCTCACATCCCCCCTATATGTGCGAACACTACAGTTTCTCAAACTCCTTGTTACTCAATACTGCCCAAGAAACCACTTGCCCAAGGTTTTGGATGACAATTCCAGCGGCAGGGAGGGTTTATAACTGTATTGTCCTTTTTGCAGGACGTCCTGAACTGATTTACTATAGGTTGACACCTAGGCTAACTGAAAGAACTCAAAAGATATATGATTCTGATTTTGACTTTGTTAATGATCTTATGTATTCTTATGAAAAATAAAGTTTATTTGTATTATTAATATTAATATTCAATAAACAGTTCCAAGTTCTTATTTCAGAAGTTAAATTATTTGCAGTTATTTTATGTTTTGAAACAAATAAATGTATTTCTATTTCACCTGTGCCTGTGAATTTATTGTTGAAACTAAAAAAAATGTGACATATAACTCACACAGTACATGTTTTTGTATTTGCTATGATATGTTTCTTGATTATTGATCAAGATGATTTTGTTTGTTAACATTTGTTACCATCTTTGTTCAGGTGTTACCAAATAGCAGACATGCCTTGGTATCAAAGAAAAATAGCTGCTACAATCTTCGCTGAACCTCCAAAATCATCTTTTGAAGAAGCTCTTCAATATTTCTCCAAGGCAGAAGAGGTCCAGCCCAGGTTTTACAGGTAGAAAACAGTAACATGAATGTTGTTGGTGCCCATTTGATTTATTTGAAATTTAAATTGTTTGTAAAAAAACAAAGACCTACGAAGTCTAGGAGGAAATTCTAGTGCTATTTACTGGTAAACTTCAAGCTACATAACTAAAGATCACATGTTAGAAGTTGGCAGGCCCACTACATTATATTAAATTTCAAGTCATACAGATGTTCAAAAAAGCTGTTAGGGATTAGCAAGATTCGAACCCAGGTCTTATGGACAGAGGTTGTGCTCTAAACCACTAGTACAACCATGTCCCTAAAATAACCTGACTTATGTTGTATTTAACCTGTGCAAATAAAAAAAAATTGTTTAAACATAACAAAAATTGAAAACATTGATGTGATTTTTAGATGTTTAGCTATTTATTACAATTTATATATTTGAATATGAATAATAATGAGTAATAAATGCATTCCCTCAAAAAAAGGAAAAAAAAAACAAAAAAAAAACATTGACAAAGTATAAAACAATTTGGAAATCAACTGAGCACTTTGTCCAGTATTTGTGGTCAGTGTAGACAAAAACTTGTCTTATCTATATAAATGAAGAGTTCAGTCTTATCAGGCTTTTACTAAAATGATCACTCCTGCTGCTACCTTTGTAGTGTTACATGATTAATTTAAGTCTACTTCTAAAAATTAAGACATAAATATTTGACTGCCTGTTAGAAAATATATTCTTAACAAACAAAAATGTTGTAAGGCTTGTTACGTTGTTGTAGCCAGAACCTACTAATGGTGGGAAAGACACTGTTGAAGTTGCAGCGACCAACTGAAGCTTACGACTACTTGGTGCAAGCTCGCGACTTTCCTAGTTCATCTGATGAAGACGACCAGGTATGCTACTTTCTATTTGGAACCTTTTTATTCACACTTCAAGCTAGACCTAGAGGGTTGTCACATTGAAAAGCCGTTAGTGATTATGATATGAACCGGGGACCATGGGGACACAAGTCATGCAATCTAATACTAGACTAGCTCGCCCCAATCAGGTCAGATCAGATATGAGTCAGAGTGAACAATGGGGTGCAGCTGTCCTAGTGGTTAAACCACTATTCTGTCTTGGAGGTTAAAATGGAAGTATAGGTTAAAAACCCACCAATCACAAAGACTTATGTGATAATACAGACCCAGTGGTTAAGAGTTCACTTAGCTCCGGTTCTCTTATTTAGAAAGCAAAAAATGTGAAAACTCTGTCTTTAAAAACTCCCTCCACAAAAAGCCATACAATATAAACACTGATTTGTAAGATAATTTGGAGGGTTTGATTAATTAATTACAGCCATGACCATTTGTATCCCAATTTGTACTTAGCTTCAGCAACACAGTGCCTCCATTTGTCTCTGTCCTCAGCATTTTCTTCTCAATCCTCAAAAATCATTCACATGTACCAAAAATGTTTTCCCCTCTCATCCATTTCTAAGTTAACACTAGAGCTTGTGTTGTAAAGTCACTTTTACTATTACGATTATTTGTGTTTTAGGTAAGGAAAGAAGCTGCTGAAATACTGAAGAATTTAAAAACTAACGAGAAACAATGAATTATCATGACCAATATCAATAGGGTGCTATGAGGTGACAATGAAAATAACGTATTACTTTTTATTCTGTATTATTTATGTGTTTTTATACTGTGCTGTCAATAAATCATTACTGTAAATTTGTGGCTGATTTATTTTTTTTACATGCCTCCAAAACCTTTAACTTGTGAGCAATTCTGAGTGTTTTTAGATTGAATTTACTTTTTCCTACTTAACACATTTTTTCTGCACTTATAAAGATTGAAGTGGTAGTCTTAATGTTGTCCTCTTCTCAGGTTGAGGCTACAGTTGCTGCCCATTTCAGGTGCAGTTTTTGTTAAGATACTTTGAGATAAATAAATAAATAGTTTAAGTGAAGGCCGACTCATTTAGGTTGATATTTCGACCTTTAGGGTTTAGAGGATTAAACCTACTACTGTATTTTATTCCAATCAAATTTGATGGTGACAAATTGCTGTAGTAATATACTCATCATTTTCTGTAAAAATAACAATATAAATTTTCAGATACTTTATATTTGATATTCCAGAGTTCCGCTAATCCAAACAAATTTTGATTGGACCTGTTTCGGATTTGCCTAAAATGTAATAGATTAAAATTTTTTTAAATTATATATTTATGTCTGTAAGTGGCCATGTATTGCTTACACGATCAAGAAAATACCGTAACCGTCTCCCACAATCGTGTTCTCCTTACCTTCACGATGACATTCCATTCAAAAAATTCACTCACAACTATAGATATTGAAATTCAATCTTCGGTTTCCTGGTAAGCTGGACACCCTGGTTCGTATTTCGGAACTCATGGCTTAGTATTTAATTTAAATACAGAAAGGAACTTTTTTCTTAACATGCGGTTCAGATTAGTGGGACTCTGGTGGGCCAACTTATTTAAAAGGTAAGTCGATACGAGTAAAGTGAAAAAGATTATAGCACATTATTTTTTCCATACAGTTTTATTAAAGTTATTTACAATTAGAGACTTAAAAAATTACAAATTATAAAGAATGACTACCTACTCTAAAAGCTCCAAATTGTTGAATTTCTCTAGAGAGTAAAATCCAGCCCTTACCTGACGGCCTCCAAAAAAACGACCGTTTAAATCTACAACAGCTGAAACAAAGAACAGAAAATGTCAGCAAGATCTTCTAAATATGTAAAAGGTTAACATGTTCACTACCAGCACTCCCTCTATGTATGTTCTCCCGAGACCTGGTAGTGAATGTCGAGCTTTAAGAGATGTCGATTTGCATACAGAACCTTAAAATGAAAGGTTACACCTTACCAGAACCAAATTATATCAAATGCAGTGGAACTTAAAAAGCTTGAAAAATGGAAAATTCACACTTTTTTGCTAACTGTACTGTGATGGAAACACATTAATCAGTAAATTTAAGGGTGTAAAATACTACTCTTGTTTGTTTAGCAAGAGTAAAGATTTAGGGGCTTTGATAATGCCATTGTTGCTTGGATTCACGGCCGTAAACAATGTCTATCTTACACAACATAAAAAAAATGGCAACTGTGCTTATTGTCCAGTCAAGAAAGGGTTTAACCTCTGGAAAATTCTGTAAGTTTTTCAAACTTTGCACAATTATTTCTAGGTACCTAGGTAAGACCAATGGTCCCCATAAATATGAAGCGAGCTTTAGTGGCAATTAGCGAAAACAGGGCACCTTTTTTTGTTTTTATTTTTGGCTAAAATCTCGAGAACCGTCGGTTGGAGTTAAAAGTGACTAATACCAAAAGAAAGATCATTACATTTTCAACAAAAATGGTATTTACACTTTTATTTTATTCTTAATGACTACCGAGTTATACTGCGCTAAAATGTTGTGTTTTTTCTCAGGTGCCAAACTGTCAGGGTGCGAGCAATGGTGCAAACTAAAGTTGGTATTTTGTTGAGAAAAACACCATATTTTAGTGTCCTATAACTCGGTAACCATTAGAAATAAAATAAAAGTGTGTAAATATCATTTGTTAAAAATTTAATGATGTTTCATTTGGTATTTAGTCACTTTTGACTCCGACCGACGAGATTTTAGCCAAAAAACAAAAAAAGGTGCCCTGTTTTCACTAATTGTCGCTAGAGCTTGTCTCATATTTATGGGGGACTCTTGGTATAATCTTCCCTAGGTACCTTGAAATATGTGTGCAGTTTCAAATCTTTCGGATTTTTTCGGAGGTTGGGTCATTAATTTATATATTTTGACTGGACTATTATATGAGGCTTCAATAAGAATTATTGCAGCCATTTCAATAATTTCCCAAATACCTTAAATGCAATGGTTATGAACTCACCTTTGATGGCCGACTCTATCCTCTTGAATTCTACAAATATCCGCACAGCCTCTTCGGGAACTACATTCGGCAGTTCGTAGATGATGACCTTGATGACATCTCCGTACTTGGTGTTGCACTCGTCTTTCACTTCAGGCTCCAGATCTTGGTCTACTTCCCCTGGGCCAACCATGTTCTGAAACAAAGAGGAATCTTAAAGTGGGTCATGTACTTTATAAATAGTAAATTGTAAAAAGCAAGACCAAGTCGGTTTGGACATGCAAGAAGAGAGAGTTCCTATGAAAATGGAGTATATGATGATACAAGGATGATGATATTGAGGAAGCCATAGAAGGTGGATATTAGATGAAGAAGGATGAAGTAGAGTGGCTGTGGATGGATAAAAGATGGAGAGACCTATTTGACATCCAGACACTGAACAGAAAAAAATATGTATACTTAACAGTGCAAATCTTGGAGAGCAAAAATTGTGGAATAGCTGGAATTTAGACAACATTTACAAAATAGATTTTTTGTAAATTTTCTCCTAGTTTTTGCATTCTATTGCAAATTCGGAATCATGTCTGTTTCATGTACGTTTGGTTACACTTTAGTCTGCTGGATTATTAGAATATATTTTTCAGTGTTCTTTAGGCTTTTGATATAATAGCCTAGAGGATTCTTTTTGCCCTAGGACGCTAAGCCCATTTGAAAATGTTCCTCGTAAGAGTGATCGGTAAATCTACCGATCTCCAGCTAATTTCACTCTACACCATCTGATTTTACTGATCCCTTTTGTACACAACGGCTTTCTGTTCTACCAAGAGACCAAAAACAATCTGCTTACAGTAAAGCATGGTGAAAACTTGTTTTCTAACTAATCGTAATGGAAAATTTCTGCAATATCTCTTAATATGACATAAACACTCAATTACCATAATTATTCAAAAAGAACCAAACATAAGTTTTGGAACAACACTCACCCTAAGTAGCACCACCTTGGAGGGACTCCTCATAATCTCCGTGATAGAAGGTTCCTCCTTTGGCTCTACAGGTGCGACGGGTGTGGGAGGTGGGGGAGGCATCATCTCCTTCTCATGGATGATACGTCCGCCTCGCTTCGACGTCTTCTCTACTTGCAGAGCCATCGAGATGCCCTGCTCCTTCTTACCAAGCCCCTGACCTTCCTGTTGAATAATTAAAAGATGGTTAGAGGTGAAATTTAAACAATTAGATAAATACAAAAGTATGGTGCACTAACATTTTAGTAGTTGACATAGCTACCACAGGTGTGACGGTCAAACCACGAAAGTTATTGTGGAGGGAGATCTATTTTACATCACATGAACACAAGGACCGTTCAGAAAGTAACCAGTCACTATGGGAGTAGCGAGGTCATTCTTGAGGTCAGCCGTGGTACCATAGCGTGAAAGTAAAGCCATTGTGTATTTTAATTTTACAGCTGCTCAAAATATGTGACATGATGGAAAATCCTGACAAGTAGGGCCTATGATATGCGAGCTATTTTTACTTGATGCCAAAAAAGTATTCGGCCACAGCTATTTATCGTGAATTTTGTGCGGTGTATGGACATGTGGTGATGAGCAAAGGAGTAGTAATTTAGAAATACAACAATGCAAACAAATGCCATGATTATTGACCTCTAGTGATTTTGCATGGCATGACCAACCTCTTGCTGCTTAGATAACCAAAAACCATCTGGGAAAGTTCGATTGGGACCTATTCCAACAAGTGCCCTTCTGCCCAAATTTAGTTCCTAGCGGCTACAATCTTTTCTTGCATGTAAAGAGGTGTCTGAGATCTCAGCAATGATTTGAAAAATCAGCCGTCAGGGTCTGGAATCTTGTTTCATTCCATAGCTTGTTTTAATATTGTGTGTAGTCTAAATCTCAAATTTTCTGAATAAAAATTGCGTATGGCAACACTGTACACAAGGATTTCAAAAATACGCTTACACAGTGTGTGTGTGTGTTTGTCACAGTCTCATTAAAATCATTCTCTCACCTTGAAACCATACTTGGCCATAATCTTGGCAGCCACGGATGCCCCGCAGGACGTAGGTGTGCGAATTGCGTCCAGAGGAGGAGGAGTAGGGGAAGGTTCTTGCAGAGATGGAGGGGGAGCAATCGCCACGCCTCCGCCTCTCGACGGCCGCTCTGCCATGACCTCTTCTTCTTCTTCATCAGCCATACCTGGGAAACCGGACCCGAGTCCTCTTCGGCCAGGTGTCCTTTCTTCCGGTCCCGGAGTGCTCGGCTCAAATCGACTGTAAATTATATATTTACTAGTAAAACGGATGTAGTACTGCCGTTTTTTTTTTTTTTGTAGTTTGTTAATTACCACAAGAAGTAGTAATGTAATGCAGTCGTGTGACTAAATTTTTGTATGCGTCTTATTTGAACAGTTGATTAGGCAAAAAAAAAATAAAAAAAATAAAACTAGCCTAATCCAGATAAATCAAATCAAATCATCTTTATTTTCATTACATGTACATGGGTACAAAAATAGTGTCAAGTATAAAGTGCTAAACTAGCCTAGATATAAACACATTTTAAGTATGAATATTTATTCAATGATAAAGCTAACAAGATTATTTTTACAGTACAATTAAACATTGGAATTATTTGCACTATCCTAATTGTTGTTGAATCAACATAATATTTACAATACAGAAGCCTAAGTTAAACTATCTAATTAAAGATTTTCATAAAAAAACCAACAAAACTTAATAAGAAAATGGATTTACACACAAACACTAGGAATTGCACAAAGCTCAAAAGCCCTAGAATATGACAGCTATATTGAATATGCTTGAATATGCTCACTATTTTTCAGTGACACACTAACTGAGAAAGCCTTTTAAGGGTCTCCAGACATAACCTCTCAAATATTTTCAATCCAAAAGCTTAAACCACTTTTTATTGTCCTAGGACGCTAGGTACGAGGTTGGGATTGTTTTTTACATTACTTCAGGCTAGACCTAAGACCTAAGGGTTGCAGCATTAAGTTACCACTTAGATAAAATCCATAGGTGATTTGGCAGGATTTGAACCCGGGACCTCAGGAACCGAAGTCCTGCACTCTAACCACTAAACTAGCTCGCTCCTCAACGTGTGTACTGCACTGCTATCAATTTAGGCTATATTTAAAGATAGAAGTGCAACTAAAATTCTATTGTTTAGCAGTTTGGCATGAATTAAACCTTTCTCATAATCTGTTTAAAAGTGCATTTTTTATTGTTCTTATGATGATAACAGAGCTACCTTCTTACTAAAATTTTAGTGTGAAATTATCATTTTCTGGAACAAGGACCTGCAATACGCCACATTATTCCAATTATTTGGATTTATACACAAAGCTTCACTAATTAAAACAATTTTACAGTACTAGTTTCAATCTAATATGCAGCAGCTCTATTCATCTTCTTGACATGTTTTCCTGTTTATTTCGCAAGATTTCATAGATATAACCATGGCTTAAAGCTTGGTATAAATAAACAAATACCCCCGCCGCAGCAAACCTGCCGTCTAAGCGAATTTCCATTTGGCTGAATTAATTTTCAATCGATCTATTTAAATAACATTAGGTTTAACGAGTACCTAGGTTTGCTGCTACAAGGAAACTAATAAAGTGTGTGTTTTAAGTAAAATAATTATTGCTTAGTAGAAAATGAATATATTTGCCAAGTTTGATCAAAAGATATCCATAAACAAGCAAACTACAACATTTTACAATATTCTCCATAAGAATAACATGGGAATTTTAAATTTACAATTTGTTTAGTTTTCTCCGTAACCAATAACCGAACAAAAACACTTTGATATACCGAATTGTTTGTTTTTTTAAGCTCTTTAAGAAGGTTTAGAGAAAAATTGGGAAATTTTGTGTTTTGGGGGTCAAAAATGCGAAAAACCAATTTTTACCCCATAAAACCCCCCATAAAACCCTGTTCCCATGGTCCGATCATGCTGGATCGCGAACTCATTCAAGTTTATCCCGCCTTACACCTTCAAACCAAATTTCATCAAAATCAGATAAAAATTACTCAAGTTATCGTGTTCACGGACACATATATATATAAATCTATATATATATATATATATCTATATATATATACATATATAAAAATTTGAACGGATGGTGTTTTTGGCCTCTGGGGACATCAAAATGAAAAAGTAAATCGGTCCCGGGCCTAAGTCTTACCATGAGACCTACGGTAATAGCTACTTCCCTATAGGGAAATTCGCTAAAAGACAAGAGGCTTTTTATCTGACAATGCACATGCTTTTTTTCAAGTGTTATAACAATGACAACAAATAACGTACAATTTGTTTCTAAAACATTTTTCTAGGTGGTAATAAGAGAGCACCCCCTATAAATATATGGGGCCACAAGTGGCTGATCGCAAGACCCTTTTACTCACTAAAGGAATTTTATGAATATTTCGTAAATTATAATGTACTTTCATTTACCCATGAGGCTTTTGTAATTTTTTATGAATGCACAATATAGAATATAGTATTGTATTAATTAAATTAATTAGCTAAAGTTTAAAACTTACCTTTCTCTTGGTCTTGTTCTGTCTTCTCTTCTCTTGCGGCGTTCATCATCTTCCCTTTCTCTCTCTCTTTCTCTGATTTCTTTTAAATCTGCAATAAAGAATTTAATAATGGATTAGGTTACAATCAATTTACAGCCAATCAATTTAAGTTATTCTTAATGTTTGTACAAAGTTGTTTGGCAAGATAGCCTATCAGTAAAAAATTTAATAGCAAAAATCAAATAAATTCTGATAGGGTAGCCTAGCCTAAGATTAAAAACTACAAAAATAGTTCTAAAATCGAAAGTTACAAAACATAATCCATGAGTTTATTTTGAGCACTTGTAGTTCGAATCCAGTTAATGATATTAAACTTTTGTAGTTACAATATGCATATTCCTCCCATTTACACAACATAATCAGTTTTATTTTTACTTCAAACACAATGTTACCATAAAAACCGTATTTACTAAGTTCAGTAAAAGCCTATAAATACGAAGAGCCTACAGTTTAATTGAATATTTTAGACATTTTTTATCACTTTTTATTATGGCATAAAGGGTTATAAGCTATAGTCAATAGATTAAAAAACCAACCTTTTACGACTTTTTCATAATCGTTGGGCCACATTGGGTCGTATTCAACACCATCAAAGTTCCAATCCATGTCTTGATTGTTGAAATTATTTCCATGGGGAGAAAAGTTGAAAAGTCTTGCATCCTTTAAAAATAAATAAAAAACAGGATATTAATTTAAAAACACACCCAGACTTGTCAACTTATTTGTGTATAGTCAATGTTTATAGCATACCAATAGTTGTATCAATTTTTTTTTGTCCAAGGACGCTAGGCACGAGCTTGGGATTGTTTTTCACATTACTTCAGGCTAGACCTAGGGGTTGCGGCATTATCACTTAGATAAAATCCATTGGTCACTTGGCTGGGATGGAACCTGGGACCTCAGGGACTGAAGTCCCGCGCTCTAAACATTGTGGATATTTATAGGGATGCACTGTGGATGCGATACTCCCTGGTGTGGATTGACATCCGCACTAGTGAGTACTACGACTATCCGCAGTACTATCCTAATAATTAGACCAATTCGTTAATTACGAGGAAAAAATGTGGTTCGGATTGCACAATAAACTGTAGGTCCCTTAGTTGCCATTAGCTGTATGGGCTATTAATTAACAGCTGTGTCTAAGGAACATGTCGGCCTTAGTCACTAACAAGACTACAAGATCGCGCCACTCATCCTACACTCATCCTACACTCATCCTTCACTCATATCTGGGTTAAAATACGCACATAGTGATGTCCCCATCTTAAATAATTGATGATTGATTAATTGATTGATAACCACTACCCCAGCTCGCTCCCCAATAGTTGTATCAATAGTCAAAGCTTAAGTTATACCAAAGCTTACATTGACATTGAGTAACTCATCTGTTTTTACCCTTCCCGGACGGGCAAAATCGTGACATAGAACGGGAAAAAATCATAGGAAAAAATAAAAATTAATTTTTCTTATTTGTGTTTTGTTATACAAGTATACATAAAATAAACACAATGAAACAATTCACGATGTCAAAATAATTTTTTACTTGTTTTTAACTATGCGGATATATCCGCTACCTGTCCGCGGATGAGTAGAAAAGCAGCGGATATATCCGCCACCCGTCTTTGAAGATATACACCATGACAACGTTAGGCAATAGATGAAGAACAATATGTAAACAATGAATAAAGACAACGTAGTGTTGAGCGGGAAACGTCGAGGGGGGAGCGTCTAGGAGAGGGGATGGCACGGGAGAGGGGTAGGTGCGGGAGAGAGGGGGGAGTGCGGGAGAGAGTGCAGCCATGAAGAAAGCATGAAAGTGGTGCCTTGGTACCGCGATACATCTGGTTTGAAGAGAAGGCGGATATATCCGCTTCCCGTCCGGAACATCAAAAACCATAAGCGGATTTATCTGCCACCCGTCCTTTATCGCCAAAGACTTAGGCGGATATATCTGTCACCCGTCAGGGAAGAGTTAAGTAGACCTATGATCCTTGAATAAAAAAATTAGTTGTAGGCCTAAATGAAACTTACCTTTGAATATGCACCAAACCCACCAGAGTTGGAATCCTCATCTTCTTTTTTTGATTTCAAATCAATTACAGGAGCAAGAACGTTGTTTGATTTTCTTATTTGGTCCCTCCTTGGCTAAAAAAGAAATTTTAATAAACATTACGTTACATAGGTAATCATGGGATCAAAATTAAGTTAAATCATGCTATTTTATCTCTAGGCCTACAAACACACAAATAGTACCCAGTTAAATCGCCGTTGTGACTTTGTAAGAATCTACAAAGAAATTTCTTAATATAGAGGTATCGGTAGTTATGTAGGTCTAAGGATTATCAAGATTAAGTTAGCCTAACTTAGGTTTTAAATGGATTTGAGTTTTAGTTAGGGATGGTCAAGTCTCGAAATTTCGGGAAATTTTACATCTCGTTACACGAGACGAGATTTCTTTTTGGCCGAGATTTTTATCGAGACGAGAATAAAAAATAAAAAAAATTAAAAACGCCTGCAGAAAGTCAATCAATACCCGCAATACAGGAGCGTGTTGTAGTTGCGTTTCCTTATTTAGGCGTTCTTATTTAATTAATTCTTTAAATGTAAATATTACTTTAATTATTTTAATAATATTACTTTAATAACATTTGAGAAGTTTTGTTAAGTGTAAGCAGTGTGAGGAATGTTTTATTACTATAAAAAGTCAAAACAAGTAACTATTTATTTTATAAAAATGAATATTGCTTTTATTTTATGATTTATTTTATTTTAGGATAAGTTGAACTCTATCCTAACTGATATCACTATGTTTCCTAATCGTAGGCATTTTTAATAAGTTAGGCGTGATTAATAAAAAAATGTTATGCTGATGTTTTTTAATAAAAGATTGTAAATATTCTTGCCTATTATCATTATTTTTGTATTTAAACAGTCATCTAACAATGTTACAAAATCAGGTAACAATTTTGAACGTGCATTTCCCGTTGTGTATGAGAAGGGAAATCCCGTCTCGATCTCGTCTCGAAATTTTATGAGAAATAAAAAATCTCGTCTCGTCTCGTCTCGAACTAAAATTCCAATCTCGTCCATCCCTAGTTTTAGTAAAGACCAACAAAATTAAGGGATTTTACTCTTAGGCAACAAAAGAGAAATATAGTCTTCGTAAAATCTAACAACAGCGCAAGTTAAAATTTTTACAAAAAATGCAGTTTTTAGCGTATTGGGTAGGCATACCGATAGACAAATCCAATAGGCCTATACCATTTACACAAAATACCAGGGTAGACTTTTGATCATGAAAATATATAACCGCAGTAACTTATATCCTATATTTTCAAGGGGAGAATTAAAATAGCTATGATATTTCTTAAATTGCTTGTAACCATCAATGTGTTACCGGTACCTAACTTATGTTTAGTCATGCTAGTTTACTTTGTATAGCAATTGCAGTAAAAAATAAATGAATAAAAGTTGTACTTTTATTATAGAATTGTAAGAAAGTAAGTAAGTAGCTTAGCTTTAACGCTACACATGTTATAGGCTATCTCAAATAAATAGGCCCATGCATTTTCACTTGTAGGGTTTAATTTCTTTCAAAACATTAATTAGGCCTAATATAATTAATATGAACAGTAAGATTGCCCTTATTTTAATTATCCTTGACTGTAAGATTTAGGCCTACAGGCCCGGTATTATTGTAATCCCATACAATAAAGCTTAACTTTCTCTAAAAATATGTTCGTTATTTTTTACCTCGTCTTAGTTACATTAATTTTATAGACCATTATGATACAGTATATGAAATTAATTGACTTGAGCCAGTGTGTGAAACAAATAACAGAAACTCTAAACAAGGTGATTTTAACTTAACTATAGTTTCGAATTAATAAAGATAAAGTTGTGAGGTAACAATAACTTAGTACAAATCAAGTTTTAACTATAAAAAGTGCATTTAGGTTAATTATCTACCTATGTTTAACTTAAAAAAAATTGAATCAATCGTACTAATTGTACGTTCACGGAACACTCAGCGCTGGAGCTGGGCGTGCCACGGTGTGTGCTTTGAAATCAAAATTAACTTGGACCTAAATTCTCAGCAGCTTGAGCTAAATTCTCAAGCTTGCGCATTTTTGATATCGTTATTTCATTGTGTTTCAACCACTATTTAATTGTGCAAAAACAGTCTGGAAGTTGCATAAATTAATGAGTCGGTTCATTATAACCTAACCTTTACCTTCCTAATCTAACCTCACTTTAAAACACTTAATACAGTAACGAGTCCGCATAAAACCCGACCTCTTCCTCACATGCCTAAATAAGAACTGATTATTTGGTTTCAAAACGAATTGATTTCATTTCATTCCGCATTAAATCAAGTATAAACAGTTGTTAACTCTTCTCACTCAGTACGGAGTACGGTCCCGTCCAGACCACGCCATATTACTATTACCATCAGTACCACTCAATTATCCTTAGATTTGTAATCCTAACCGGCTGCACTTTACTTTAGGTCCTACACTCATTCGAATGACAATATCGATCGATATATCGATTAATCGATTGTTTCATTCGATATATCGTTTGATTAGGTCAACCTTACCTAACTAACCAAACGATACATCGAATGAAACAATCGAATAATCGATATTTTCATTCGAATGAGTGTAGGACCTATAAAGTAAAGTGCAGCCTCCTAACCTTTGTTTTACGGCCACTACGGCCACTTAGGAATCTCTCCGGCAAAAACTGATTGCATTTTTGGATTCAGCGTTAAAAATACTGTAAGTGGACATATAAAAATTACATCATACTTATCCCAGTGTAAACACAGTAGGCCTAAATATTTGCCTTCAATTTGATAGTTTCATTTAATATTAGCATAACCCAGTTAAGTACCCTCTAGGAACAGTGTAAACACGTCTTATAGAACGTTTTAGTTGAGCCAGGGAAGGTGAATATTTACCGTTCCCTTTAACTGGAAAGTAAGCTACCAAATTTTGTGAAAGTAGCGCACAGTGGCTCAGGTGAATGTGCCTATGGGTGGTGGGGGAACGGCTTCATCTCCGTTAATGTATTGGGCATAGGCCTAGTGATTGCCAGTCAATGTTATTCTTTGGTCACTGGTTCCAAGGGTGAGGAAGCTGTACCGTATACAGATTGAGTAGGCTAGGCCTACTCTGGGATTAAATTATATAGACATTACAACAACTAAATATGCAAGTAAGTAAGTAAATAATAGGCTAGTATTAACTTTAAGTAAGCCAAGCAAGGGACTTGTGTGAACCTGGCAATAACTCCAGCCATAAGTAGTGCGCGCGGCCAAAAAAATGTATTGCTGGCCGTTTTGCGGCAAAATACGTCCGCGAGCAATATTACCGATGATGCCAACAGATAGAGGACACTTTAACGGACACGACAGTATCAATATCATGTACCTGGGGGATAAGTTAAGGGGGGTAAAACCAGCAATAAGTTGTGCGCGCGCCCAAAAAAATCTATTGCTGGCCGTATTGCGGAAAAATACGTCCGCGAGCAATATTACCGATGATGCCAACAGATAGAGGACACTTTAACGGACACGACAGTATCAACATCATGTACCTGGGGGATAAGTTTAGGGGGGTATAACCAGCAATAAGTAGTGCGCGCGCCCGATAAAATCTATTGCCGGCCGTATTGCGGAAAAATACGTCCGCGAGCAATATTACCGATGATGCCAACAGATAGAGGACACTTTAACGGACACGACAGTATCAATATCATGTACCTGGGGGATAAAATAAAGGGGTTAAAACCAGCAATAAGTAGTGCGCGCACGCGATGAAATCTATTGCTGGCTGTATTGCGGAAAATACGTCCGCGAGCAATATTACCGATGATGCCAACAGATAGAGGACACTTTAACGGACACGACAGTATCAACATCATGTACCTGGAGGATAAAATAAAGGGGTTAGAACCAGCAATAAGTAGTGCGCGCGCCGGATAAAATCTATTGCTGGCCGTATTGCGGAGAAATACGTCCGCGAGCAATATTACCGATGATGCCAACAGATAGAGGACACTTTAACGGACACGACAGTATCAATATCATGTACCTGGGGGATAAGTTTAGGGGGGTATAACCAGCAATAAGTAGTGCGCGCGCCCGATGAAATCTATTGCTGGCCGTATTGCGGAAAAATACGTCCGCGAGCAATATTACCGATGATGCCAACAGATAGAGGACACTTTAACGAACACGACAGTATCAACATCATGTACCTGGGGGATAAGTTAGGGGGGTAAAACCAGCAATAAGTTGTGCGCGCGCCCGATGAAATCTATTGCTGGCCGTATTGCGCAGAAATGCGTCCGCGAGCAATATTACCGATGATGCCAACAGATAGAGGACACTTTAACGGACACGACAGTATCAATATCATGTACCTGGGGGATAAGTTAGAGGGGGTAAAACCAGCAATAAGTAGTGCGCGCGCCGGATAAAATCTATTGCTGGCCGTATTGTGGAAAATACGTCCGCGAGCAATATCACCAATGATGCCAACAGATAGAGGACACTTTAACGGACACGACAGTATCAACATCATGTACCTGGAGGATAAAATAAAGGGGTTAAAACCAGCAATAAGTAGTGCGCGCGCCGGATAAAATATATTGCTGGCCGTATTGCGGAGAAATACGTCCGCGAGCAATATTACCGATGATGCCAACAGATAGAGGACACTTTAACGAACACGACAGTATCAACATCATGTACCTGGGGGATAAGTTAGGGGGGTAAACCAGCAATAAGTTGTGCGCGCGCCCGATGAAATATATTGCTGGCCGTATTGCGCAGAAATGCGTCCGCGAGCAATATTACCGATGATGCCAACAGATAGAGGACACTTTAACGAACACGACAGTATCAACATCATGTACCTGGGGGATAAGTTAGGGGGGTAAAACCAGCAATAAGTTGTGCGCGCGCCCGATGAAATATATTGCTGGCCGTATTGCGCAGAAATGCGTCCGCGAGCAATATTACCGATGATGCCAACAGATAGAGGACACTTTAACGGACACGACAGTATCAATATCATGTACCTGGGGGATAAGTTAGAGGGGGTAAAACCAGCAATAAGTAGTGCGCGCGCCGGATAAAATCTATTGCCGGCCGTATTGCGGAGAAATACGTCCGCGAGCAATATAACCGATGATGCCAACAGATAGTGGACACTTTAACGTTAATTAATGTTATTTGTTATTTATGTTGTATAATTTGTATTTTATGTATATTTTTCTTTTTTGTTTGTAATTTTTCAAATAATTTAATTTTTTGTTATATTTTTTTTAGTTTAAAGTAATTGAGAGCTAAAGACTAAATAAAGATTTTTTGAAGTATAGCATAATGTTTTTTTTGTTACAATTTGTCTTGTCTGTAGTAAATTTAATGTCACAAACCTCATATTTACTTAGTCTATCATCAAGAAACACTTTACAAACTAAATTTTTAGGCTGCATATTTAGAACAAATGAATTATGATTCAATCATGGAATTTTTGGGAAAGAAATTTTTGAAATGTTACAGAAAGTTTAGTTAGGATGTTAAAGAACAGCAGTTTCCTTTCAGAATGCTGCTATCAAACGGAATTTTAAAATATTGCAGCAAGTTTGGTTTAGGTTTGTTTAGCACAGTTTTATTTCATAATCAATATAGTTGTGGGCAGATAACGTGAAGTTTGGAGGAGAGGCATTGCCGTTCCTAATATATACTGTACTAGGTTTTCTGGTGTTAAACCTCTTCCCACACAGTTATACAAGTAACTAAGTTAGTATTTATAATAGTTTGTTAATATTTATAATCAAACTAAAACCTTACTAGCAGAATCGCCTCGCCAATTCACCGAAGTTATGTTCCAAAATGTAAACATAACAAATTAGCAGATGACACTAGTTCAGAAACAGCTGATCTTGTGGTTCACCGCCGGGCCGCGCATCAGTCACCCGCGCCTGCGAAGGGTACAGCCGGGGTACAGCGCTGGATGTGCGCGGCGCTCGCCGAGCCGAGATACTAGCATAGATAAAAGGAGTATCACTAGTCTAGACAGTGAGTCTGAGTCGCAGTCGGGGTCGGCGACGGCGAGGCGGGAGCATCGATGTATAATAACTACATCGATGGGCGGGAGTCGACAGTCAAGTCGGCAGCAAGGTGGTTTTTCAAATTCGTTTTGTTATCGCGTAGGTCCGTGAGAACACGGTGTTACCTAAAATAATGTGTGGTGTTTAGTTTGTAGTCAATGTTTATTGTAATCTATGTATAAAGTCAAAAGTACCCATGAACTTTTGAGAAAACTACAAGTCACACCCCCATAAACCATATACTTAAAATGTTCGTCATGACGAGAAACCTTGCGCAAAATTATTCATTATTTCATAAACTGCCCTATAAGGTCGTAATTGCTTTCCAAAGGGAACTTTCCATTTACCTAATGTTAAAAATACCTCAGCTGTTATTATTTGTTTGCATTACCATTACTGTATTCTGTTTTGTTTAGCCTATTTCATCTTAACTTAACCAATCAATAGTTTTATTAATACTATTGTAGTAACAGGGGTGGAGCCCGTGGGTAACAGATAGTTACTGTAGCAGCAATTCAGCTGTGAGATATTTGATTTATGGGAGTAAAAGAAAATAGTTGATTTATTAGAGTGATTGTAATTTTTTGCTGGCTTCTTTACTAACTAACACGCTTTCATTTGTTTGTATTTCAGAACTGTACTAACAATTGCTATACCATTGCTGCACTAACCATTATTCATTGTCTGTTATACTAGAACCAGTGCACGCAGTAGCTATGTTCTATGTAGTCGCTTAGCCGCTACTTATTGCAATACTTATTGCTGGTTATACCCCCCTTTACTTATCCCTAAGGTACATGATGTTGATACTGTCGTGTCCGTTAAAGTGTCCTCTATCTGTTGGCATCGTCGGTAATATTGCTTGCGGACGTATTTCTCAGCAATACGGTCAGCAATAGATTTCATCGGGAGCGCGCACTACTTATTGCTGGTTATACCCCCCTAAACTTATCCCCCAGGTACATGATGTTGATACTGTCGTGTCCGTTAAAGTGTCCTCTATCTGTTGGCATCATCGGTAATATTGCTCGCGGACGTATTTTCCGCAATACGGCCAGCAATAGATTTCATCGGGCGCGCGCACTACTTATTGCTGGTTATACCCCCCTAAACTTATCCCCCAGGTACATGATGTTGATACTGTCGTGTCCGTTAAAGTGTCCTCTATCTGTTGGCATCATCGGTAATATTGCTCGCGGACGTATTTTCCGCAATACGGCCAGCAATAGATTTCATTGGGCGCGCGCACTACTTATTGCTGGTTATACCCCCTAAACTTATCCCCCAGGTACATGATGTTGATACTGTCGTGTCCGTTAAAGTGTCCTCTATCTGTTGGCATCATCGGTAATATTGCTCGCGGACGTATTTTCCGCAATACGGCCAGCAATAGATTTCATTGGGCGCGCGCACTACTTATTGCTGGTTATACCCCCTAAACTTATCCCCCAGGTACATGATGTTGATACTGTCGTGTCCGTTAAAGTGTCCTCTATCTGTTGGCATCATCGGTAATATTGCTCGCGGACGTATTTTTCCGCAATACGGCCGGCAATAGATTTTATCGGGCGCGCGCACTACTTATTGCTGGTTTTACCACCCTTATTTTATCCTCCAGGTACATGATGTTGATACTGTCGTGTCCGTTAAAGTGTCCTCTATCTGTTGGCATCATCGGTAATATTGCTCGCGGACGTATTTCTCCGCAATACGGCCAGCAATAGATTTTTTCGGGCGCGCGCACAACTTATTGCTGGTTTTACCCCCTAAACTTATCCCCCAGGTACATGATGTTGATACTGTCGTGTCCGTTAAAGTGTCCTCTATCTGTTGGCATCATCGGTAATATTGCTCGCGGACGTATTTTTCCGCAATACGGCCGGCAATAGATTTTATCGGGCGCGCGCACTACTTATTGCTGGTTTTACCACCCTTATTTTATCCTCCAGGTACATGATGTTGATACTGTCGTGTCCGTTAAAGTGTCCTCTATCTGTTGGCATCATCGGTAATATTGCTCGCGGACGTATTTCTCCGCAATACGGCCAGCAATAGATTTCATCGGGCGCGCGCACTACTTATTGCTGGTTATACCCCCCTAAACTTATCCCCCAGGTACATGATGTTGATACTGTCGTGTCCGTTAAAGTGTCCTCTATCTGTTGGCATCATCGGTAATATTGCTCGCGGACGTATTTTCCGCAATACGGCCAGCAATAGATTTCATCGGGCGCGCGCACTACTTATTGCTGGTTATACCCCCCTAAACTTATCCCCCAGGTACATGATGTTGATACTGTCGTGTCCGTTAAAGTGTCCTCTATCTGTTGGCATCATCGGTAATATTGCTCGCGGACGTATTTTTCCGCAATACGGCCAGCAATAGATTTCATCGGGCGCGCGCACTACTTATTGCTGGTTATACCCCCCTAAACTTATCCCCCAGGTACATGATGTTGATACTGTCGTGTCCGTTAAAGTGTCCTCTATCTGTTGGCATCATCGGTAATATTGCTCGCGGACTTATTTTTCCGCAATACGGCCAGCAATAGATTTCATCGGGCGCGCGCACTACTTATTGCTGGTTATACCCCCCTAAACTTATCCCCCAGGTACATGATGTTGATACTGTCGTGTCCGTTAAAGTGTCCTCTATCTGTTGGCATCATCGGTAATATTGCTCGCGGACGTATTTTTCCGCAATACGGCCGGCAATAGATTTTATCGGGCGCGCGCACTACTTATTGCTGGTTTTACCACCCTTATTTTATCCTCCAGGTACATGATGTTGATACTGTCGTGTCCGTTAAAGTGTCCTCTATCTGTTGGCATCATCGGTAATATTGCTCGCGGACGTATTTCTCCGCAATACGGCCAGCAATAGATTTTTTCGGGCGCGCGCACAACTTATTGCTGGTTTTACCCCCCTTAACTTATCCCCCAGGTACATGATATTGATACTGTCGTGTCCGTTAAAGTGTCCTCTATCTGTTGGCATCATCGGTAATATTGCTCGCGGACGTATTTTGCCGCAAAACGGCCAGCAATAAATTTTTTTGGCCGCGCGCACTACTTATGGCTGGAGTTATTGCCAGGTTCACACCAATAAGCAAGGGCTAGGCCTAGGTCAGAATCTAACCTGAGTTTGAGATGCTTTCTTCAACTGCAACTGAGATTGAAATAATTTAATTCCTGATGACCAACCAGCAACATGATCAGACTTCTGCTTAATTGCATCAAAATCATCATATAAAGACATTTTTAATTAGGCCCAATGTAAATATAAATATTTGACAATCGAAATCTGACTATTATTGATCCTAACCGAACCAACAAAACAAAACAACAAACAACACACAACGACGACTAGACAAAGACAACAACACAGCCAGCAGTCACAAAAACATAAAAGTGTATACATAGGCAACTAAAAGAAAAGTAAAGAAAGCAAGTAACAAGAGAGCATGAGTAAGAAAGAGACCTAGGGTTGCCAACGTTAATGATCAAAATTCCGTTTTCTAAGCACCCCATATTATATGCATGCTTAACGGAAAATAAAGATTTTCATTTTCATTAACATTATCATAGACATTTTCAATAATTTTTGTAACATTACTTTTGCATTAATATTTGTTAATTTAATGATTTTAAAAACTACCATTGGAAAGTCTTCTGTTGGCATTACAAAAATCCTTATAATGTAACTCAAAAAAACTACTTACTCTATGCACTACATTTAATGTCATGTCACTGATCACTACTGTCACTTTGGACTTCACTTCAATTCAATTTCAATCAATATTCAGTAGTTTAGTTAGTTACTATCACAAGTTATCACTATGTCATGTCAGTGTAATTAGTAATAAGTAATCAATCTTCAAATAAAAATCACTCAAGTACATTTTTTTAGTCATGAAGTCTAATAATCTAGGCCTATTCTATGGGGCATCGGCATTAACTTAAAATTATTAAAGGCTTTAATGATCAGATTACCTACTTTGATTTTCAACTATTTTAGAAATTTAATGAACAACTTTTTATCATGAATAAAATCGTGAAATTTAACAACCAGACCGCTGGTAGGGATAAACTTGCCAGGTAAGTTAGTCTTTTAATAATTTCTAAAGTGGACTCGATAAGTTACTTAGCCTAACTGAAATATGATTCTTGAATACTGGACTTGGGTGTTGTAATTTATGAATATGTATCCATGCGATAACTTACTTTGTGCTGCAGTCACGAGTCGGGTGTTTGTGTTGAATTTTGAACACGGTTGTTTGTCGAATCGTGTCTATAAGTCTAAAATGCTGTAGGCCTACCTATGTTAGAGTCCGAGGGTACAGTTTCTTAACTGGGCTAGACGCTAATATCTATTCGATTACCGATTCATTCAGCAATTTGATAATTTCTATGATAATTTCTTTGATAATTTCATTATCATTTGGTCGGTTAGGTTAGGTTAAAACAGTTTAACTTAAAAAATTATTGTAAAAAAATCTAATGAAAGTTGGGTAGACTTCCGTAGGCCTATCTGTTGTCAAAAACAACTAAATGAAAATATCGATGATTCAATTGTTTCATTTGATATAGCCTATTGTTTGTTTATATCAAACGATAAATACGGTAAGTATATATCTGATAATCAATTTATGGATCGATATTTTTATTCGGTTGTTTTTTACAACAGATAACTTACGGAAGTCTACCCTGAAAGTTTACTAATCAAATTGATATTTTCAATCGATATTAGCGTAAGAAAGTTAGCCCAGATAAGAAACTGTGTTCGAGTATGTACAAATTGAGTTTGAATAGTTCTCCGAGTTGCCACTAACTAATCAATAACATTGGCTAAGTTACATCAAACAAAGATTCATACTAAAGCCGGAGTTTGGAACTTTGTTGGTAACACTTGTTTCTATAACAAAAGTTAGCTAGCCTACAATTAAACTTAAGTAGGTAGAGTACCGTGCACTCTATTCTTTGATTTTGTTGGAAACAATTATCACTGTTCCCGAGAACTTTAGGTTAGTCCCATTGGCGGATCCAGAGGGGGGTGACCGCCCCCCCCTCCTCGGGCATACATAAATGTATTTTTTGACTGCATGTAATACAGTAGTAAATACACATTGCGTAAAATAATTTGTCTCACTAACATTGGACAAAAAAATTGTATAAAACTGCCATTTTGGAGACTTAGTTTATACACATTTTCCAGGGGATGGGGGTGCCCCAGAATCCCCGGTTCGCGGGCCCCTTGTGACTGTTCTAGGTCCGCCACTGGTCAGTCCTTGCGGGGAGAGGGCACGATGCATAGTCATGTGGTAGTTGGTAGTATGTAGGGGAGGGGGGGGGGGTAGCGGTGAAGTGTTGTGAACAGTGTAGAGGTACAGAAACAATGTTGTAAACACTAAACACACTGTTTCCATTCCAACATCTAAATGTTTCTGCTTACAAAAAGTTGTGTTTCTCAGTTTTTTATGAACTCCTAACTCACATGTAAATACGGCTCAAATTATATTGAGAGAAACACACACTAAGATAGAACAATTTATTTACTAAGTATCCTATTTAGTAATGACTAAGGTACACTGAGGTCATGCTAATATAACTTAGCGCTCTCCCACAGCCTGAACTTATTACTATTATAACTCATGGGCTTTGACCAGGCCTATCAGAGATGTGCATATAAATGGGTTCACATTGATGTTATTGATGATGTATTTTTTTATAGTTTTGTTTGATGTACCCTAAGTAGGCTACCCTTATGTTTTTTGTCTGCCAAGTTATTAATCTTAAACGTTCTAGACAGTTTCACCTTTCATGAACCGAACCAAAGATCGAATCCTAATTGATTCTAGTGTAGCCTATATCCTGAGCGCGGGACTTCGGTGCCTGAGGTCCCGGGTTCAAATCCTGCCAAATCACCAATGGATTTTATCTAAGTGATAATGCCGCAACCCCTAGGTCTAGCACTGAAGTATGGTAATGTGAAAAACAATCCCGGGCTTGTGCCTAGCGTCCTAGGAAAAAAGTGTAGCCTATAGGCATAATCATCCAGGAGCTGCTGCAATTTATTTACTACAGATTGATTGATTTTTGGCAGCTTTTAAAATTAGTCTTACACTTAGTGCCTCCATAACCACAATGTTGATCAAACAGTATTGATGGTGGCCCAAAACATGCATAACAATGTAAAAAAATACATTAAATTTAATGTTTTAAAACAGTGGTTCTCAGTTATTTCTACTATTGAACTATGCAACTTAACTATTATGAATTAAAATAAGAATCTTTTATTTATAAACAGGTATCTATTTTTCCTAAACAAATTATTAGCCCAGGTTGCTCTTACTAAACCATATTTTTCAGATTATTGCAATATGCCAGTCGAGTCACTTGGTATTACATGCATCAATTGAATGCAAGTCATAAATCAATTGATGCAATCAAGAGCTTAGAATTTACACTGAGCACCTTTCGGAAACGTAAGTTAGATTCAATAAGTTGATTTTCATGTACTATATTAGTCTGAAGAGAAGTGTTTTTTATTTTTTATTTAGGCAGGTGTTGCTGTTTAACGATTGGTTATGGTGAAGTGATCAACCAGTCAATTTGATATTTAGAACTTATAAATAGGCCCTAAGCTATTCATTTTCAACTAGTTGACTTTGGGTATTATCAAAGCAGGATTTGAAATTTGATCTTATGAATTGTTAGTTTTTCGTAAATAACTCCAGAACCATGGCCTTCAGCAAAATGTTTGTCATATGTTTAAATAATCTACGTAAAATGATCTACAAGAAAGGTCCTCTGCACTTTTTTGCTAGGATTATTACTAAAATATTATGGAAAGATTGATAAAAACGTTAATAGTAAGAAAGAACAAGACTCCTCTGCACTTTTTTGCTAGGATTATTACTAAAATATTATGGAAAGATTGATAAAAAACGTTAATAGTAAGAAAGAACAAGACTTAAGTTAACCTTTTTTTGTCAACTCTGAATAATAGGCTATTAAAACAATAACACACAACATATGACAATTACTTATAGAGATATGGAGGGGAGAACATGGAAATTAGTATTTTAAATCTAATATTGTGAATTAATGTTAAAGGTGCACTTCTGTGCATGCGCTAGACAAAACGCGGACGCGGGAGGGACGGGTTCAATCCCTGTCACATCCACCAAACTTTAATGGGTTTGGACCGCTTTCCATTAAAAGTGTTTGACTACATTACAAAAATGCCACTGGCGTAGATACGAAAAAAAAAACTTCCGCCGTGGTAGTCCAAAAAAATCGTTCAGCAAGCAGCCGTATACTACGCACTACGCGGCGTACACTACCCCGTGCTATGTGACTTTTCCCATTTATTAACAGGTGAACAATTTGTTAAACTTCGCGCTCGCCGCGGGAGCGAGCTTGGTGTGGCATGGCCTATATTTAAATTTTTCCCCAACATATTTGTAACTAATCACCTCTCTTTTCCAGTTTTGAGGATGGGAAGATTCCTGGACACACTGTATAGTGCTCTAGCTGCAATGCACTACGCAGAGGCTGTGGTCCGCTACACCTCCACGTTCTCAAAGATCGCTCACGCAGTGTACTTGTTCTGTGACCATCTGTTGTGGCTGGCCAGAGCCGGCTTTGCCGATCTCAACACAGACAAGTGGGTCCAAAGGGCGAACAAATGCTGGTTGTACTCCATTACCATGAACTTAGTTAGGGACGTGTATGAGATAAACCGTCTTTTGGAAGCCAACAAGGCGAAAAGCCAACGCAAAGCTTCGGTTAGTTTGACGAAACTTGCTCTGCAAAATAAAGACTTGGTGGTGGACACTTTGAAGAATGGCTGTGACTTTTTCATACCCTTGACAGCATTAGGGTATGTAAGACTGAGCCCCGGTACAGTAGGGATGCTAGGAGTGGTGTCATCGGTAGCTGGTATCCTAACAATTGTTAATCCAATGTACAAGTTGTGCCCTCCTTGAAGACACTCGGGCCTCCAAAACAATTCTGAGGGGCCTTCTAACTGTTATGTATTTTTGGATGTTGTTTTTGTCGGATTCATCTGCGTTTTTATCCATTTCTGCAAATGGTTTGACTTCGGTTTTGTGATGTGAAGTAACTATAAGTTCATTGTGAATTATGACAAAAGTTTGTAAGATAAAGGTTAAATACCAACATAACATTATGTATAGTTTTAGAACATGTTGATAGTATAAGAATTAAGCAGCATTTTCTCACTCTTGTTACCAAAAATTTAAAATATTGGTGTATTGAAGTATTGAATTGGGTAGATCTTGTAATATTTAGGACTTTAGAGGTTTGGACACAAATTATTTGACCAACTATTTTTAGACTATTGTGTAATCTAGTTTAAAAGTGCATTGAAGAAAGTAAAAGCTAAAGTACTGTCTTGCTTCATTCCAAGAACAATTTTTTGGCAGCCAGGTTGTACCATATAAAATGTAAACTATTTGATACTGTACGTAAATAACAACCGGAAGTGTATTCTATATTAGCAGATTGTTTGGAACAACTGTGTTTTGAACAGGGTTACAACTATACTTGCATCTTAGTGCAGGCTTCACTATTTTATTGTTAACGTTTTTGTTAAACTTTGTTATTTATTTTTACTCTATAATCAATAAAACATAATCTTCTGAAAGTATTTAATTTTAAAATTTTGGTTATTCGGATTATTTTTTCCTTAATGTCTTAATATAAAAAAATACCCCCGCCGCAGCATACCTGCAGACTAAGCGAATTTCAACTTGCCTGATTACATTTTTACTAAAACTATCTCCATAAATAAGACATATTTATTCCCAATTTAAATAACATTAGATCTAACAAGTGCTTAGGTTTGCTGCTACGGGGAAGGTAAAAAGTGTTTTTGACCATACGTCAATAGGATGAAATAAATAAATTTGTCAAATTTATTAATATATATCCATAAACAAGTAAACTACAACAGTTTTCATTTTCTCCATAAGAATAACATGAGAATTTTAAATTACACTAAATCTTTGCATTTTCTCTGTGACCGTTAGGCATACAACAGCGCTTTAATATGCTAAATTATTATTTTTTTTTTTAAGCTCTACAAAACGGTTTAAAAAGAAATTGCAATTTTTTGTTTTTAGGGTCAAAAATGGAATCAACCCATTTTTACCCCATAAATCCCCGTTCCCATGGTCCGATTATGCTGGTTAGCGAACTCGTTCGAATAAACGTAGGTTTACACGTTTGTACCAAATTTCATCAAAATCGGATCATTTTTGCTTGAGTTATCGCGCTAACGGACACATTTATATATATGAATTTGAACGGATGGTGTTTTTGGCCTCTAGGGACCTCAAAACGAAAAATTAAATCGGTCCCGGGTCCAGGTCTTAACATGAGTACTATGGTGGTAATAGCTTATTCCCTATATGGGAAATTCGTTAATCAAAAAAATGTTTGCTATAGTTATACTGCAGTCATGGCCATTTTCAATTAATGTGTTTTGAGGCTAAAGGGGTATTCTTATCTCTAAAGCCATGTAGTTTATTTAAAGTTACCTGAAGCTACCTTCCTGCCTACTGGCCTCGTGTAAACATGGCTCTAGAAGAAGTAGCGATGTACTCACTTCTAATTACTTTTCACACTTGTAAAAAATTCTGGTGAAGAAAATGGTTCTTGTTAGATAATAAATGTATATCTTATCCTCACTTAAATAATTTATGTGTGAGGTTAAGGTTGTAACATAGAGCACAAGGGCCTAGTTTATTAGAATTTGTTGTGAGGTAAGCCTGGTATCATAAAAAAAATCTTACATTTATGTGTGTTTACAAAGTGTTAGTATACATTTTTTTATTTGTGATTAGTTAGCTCGGAGTTTTTTAAACCAACCCATGCTCATTTTCCAACCTTTTCATCTCAGTCATTGAACTAGTACCATGACCTGCGGTTGGCATGTGACACGCTAGGGACCCCGAGAGATGTATGCGCCCCCCTTCCCAGCGAGGCATTTTTCCTCTTCCTCATGGCTCCAACAAGCCTAAAACATCTTGGTCCATTTACCAAAAAGGCCTAGGGTCCCAGTGAATTAGAAATTATTAAAATGTAGTTCAGGTGATCTAAATATACATAATATTTAAATTCATTACTTTCGTTACTGATAACGTTTTTCTACTTTTTGTAGATGGTGTATTATTATTCTTAACAGTACTTGGGAGTTTTGAAAACAAAGTCATTTTGTCTAAAACATCCTTCTTTAATGAACATTGTACATATTTACATTGACAAACATTGTGTAACAGTATGTAAAAGCTATTTCGCAAACAAAAAAACTGCTTCGCATAAGATAAAAAAAAACCTAAGGTAATAACAATTCCTAACCTATTAAAATGTTCATTATCGATTTTAAACAACATTTTTGTGGAAACTACTAAAAATGTCAAACTTATAAGACTGTATATATGCTTATAGTAGTGACTGTTACTACTATTAATAGCGTATAATAGAATTACACAAAAAAGTGCATTTCCTGAGTGATTTAAGTCTAGAAGTACAAAATGTTTGCTCAACATTGAATACAACATATAACAACACATGAAATCCGAACAAGTACATAAATCAATTTGGGGAATAATTTTTCTACACAAGTTTTTATTTCCATTTTTGAGGTTGATACATATTATATACTTTTACTTGGGAGCTTGCAGATACTTTCATTTTGATTTCTACATTTTTAACCAGTTGAAATCTTTGATTTTAAAATTTCCTGGACATTGATAAATTAATGGCAGCATATAAGTACACACCAGATTTGGGTTTATTTGTAAAACATAGCTCTAGGGTTACTACAGTTTTGTTAGGAAGTGACTTCATAGTTTATGTACTCATCTCATAAAAAAAACATTACAGAATTTGTGGTGAACATGATATAAAAATTTAAAACTTAACTTGCAGCTCATCCTGTTATAAAAAATAAAGCACATGACTGCACCAGTAGTCAAAAACCTTAATGTCTCTTATTTCAATCATTAACTGATCAAGGTATATTTGAGAGAAACTGAAGCCCTTAAGCAGGCATTGGCAAGCTTAAACTTGTAAAGTACAGTACTGTAGCTACTAAAAAATTGTAAATAAATATTAAAAAAACATAATTTGATTTATCCTATTGTTTGATTATGTATAAAATATTACAATGATTCTTAAATAGCCAAATATATTTAAATTAGGTTGCATTAACAAAATTCTGATATTTTATTTGCATTAAAACCTAAACCGGTTAACGTACCCAAAATTTTGATTTCCAATTCAAAGTTCAGCAAATTTTGTTAAGTCCCTTTGCCTGTGAACCAGACTAACATAGTTTTGAGGTAAAATTCCATCCATTCTACCTATATATTTTTAAATTATAGCAACTATAAGAACAATCTAAGTTTAAACTACCACTTTACAGTGCACTGTTCAAACAACGTACCCCTGAGGGTAAAATACCATCGCCTACAGACAATCTTGTATGTTATAGTAGTAATTAAATCAAATGTTGGTGCATATTTTGAGGTTCTAATTTGATGTTATCTAAGTTTAATTGTGTGATTTCAAAAGATTTTAAGCAAGACTTTTGTCTAATCAATGAAAATGATTTTGTAGCATTGTAGTCTATTGCTATTGCACATATTATTTTTATGTGGCTTAAGGTGGGTTCTATAGTCTACTAAAATGTCATGGGATTATCACATCATAGATAAGAGCCAGATTGGTGATTGGTGGGATTTGAACCTCAGATCACTGGACTGAAACCTACTCTCTAACCACTAAGACTACTTGCCCCAAAAACAGACATTCGGAAAAAATTGTGTAAACAAATTAAATATTTAATAAAAATATTACTTACAAATCCTTACCAGTTAGAAATCTACATAAAAAATATAACGTGTATAGCTAATGGTCTTAAAATAATCCCCATTCAAATTTGGTCTTCAATGCTATGATTAACGTTAGTGTTGCTATGTTCAATATGAAATAACTAATATTCAACATGAAATAACCAATATTCAACAACAAAAAATAACATTCTTGTAAACATAACAGTAAAAAAAAAACTTTGTATTGTGCTATAGTTCCTACTAGAAAACATATTAAAGTGTATAAAAATAGTATAATTTCCAAATAATAAGATCCTTCCTTAAGAGTAATGACTTATTACCAGTCTTTCCAACAAGGCATTCTAGTCTCGTCTAAATACTGACTTCTTGGAGCTAACCATCCTATACTACTAACCATGATATCAAACAACTTCCTATGATTCAAAACATCGTTGTATAGCAAGGAAAATCTTATAAAGGGATAAACTTGATAAAGGGTGACTTTTGAAATACTTAGGCCTACACAACTAAAAACACCAACAGCAAAAAAACATTATTCCCAAATTTCTCAAAAACACGCTTTATCAGGATAAATTGGCCTCTATAATGCTCTTAAGAAGATTAGAATTTTTGGGAATGGATTTTTTTTGAAATTTAAATAAAATACATTGTTAGCATGCACACTTTGACAGGCAAATTTAATAAAAAACTAGCAACTATTTCAAAACAGTAGTTTAAATAACAAAAATAGCTTTTCATTTCTCAACCATCTAAATAATTTTTCAATTTACATCACTATAAGAAGTAGCTAATTTCCGGATCACACCATTTGTCCGAGGTTTGTTTAAATAAATAATAATATTTGGTTGAACCGTGCTCGCCATCGTATTGACGAGTACTGGTAAGATAAGGTTTGGTTAGGTAAGGTTAGGTTAGAGTCCTACTGTTTTAATTTAATAAAAATATTGTATAATACAATCATAAAATCAATCAGTAAGAGTAAACGTGTGATTGAAATATCTGCTTAAGTTACCGTACGTAAGACTAAGACAGTATGATTGCGTCTTGCACAGACTGTACTAGCGGCTCGGTAGCAGAGTCACTTTTGGCGCTGATAATACTCGACAGTTGAAAACTGGGACAAATAATATTTCAAAATTTTTTCAAATCGTTTAAAACCTCGGACAGTTGAATTCACCAAATATTATTATTATTTAAACTAACATCGGAGAAATGAACACTTGGACAAATGAAAACTCGGACAAATGAACCTCACCCCTAATTTCAGCTGAAAAATCACCCGTTTCCTACATTCTAATTCTGAGAAAGGAAAACAATCAGCTGATTACTAAAACAAATTTACTTTCCTTTGCTCCAAGTTAGATTCTTTTGAACATATGTACACCAATGTCATTTCAATGTATTTTACAATTCAAATCATATGTTTTTACTCGTCTACAAAATGATTGTAATGAAAAGTATCATTCATAACCCATACCAAAGGTGCTTTTTTGTCATTTGCTTGAGTTATTCCCATGCTTGTCTTCGCTCTCACACTTGAAACAAAATAGCTCACACTGGAAAATGCCACTTTTGTTACTAGTCAAGTATACTATTTATTTACATGAATTTTTAAATCTTCAAATTTAGTTCAAACATTCCATTCAACCTTAAACACAATGATAGCAATAGATGACAAATTATGATTACAAAACATTAATTATTTATAATTTTAGGATAAAACTTTTAACTTATTTTTTAAATAGTTACAAAATGTTAAATCCAAAGTTACCAAAACACTGAGGGAGGTAAAATTAGCTTTCAGTTCCAAAGATGGAGGATCAGTAGGGGTCTGTAAACTTGAGCTATTTAATCGAGCCTGAGCTTCTGGAAAAAGCTTGAGCCTAAATGTTATTCGGCCGAGCGTTATTATAAAACAAAGTGCCGTAATGCTATATATCAAATTGATTAGCCAAATTCTTCTATTCAAAAAGCTTTTTAATGTTTCCATAAAGAATTAAATGTATGCGTATCGTTTATAAAACAACGACTCAATTTAAATAAAACCAATGTCATCTACTTGTGTAGGCTACTCTTTAAAAAGTGACATTTTGAGAGATTTATATAATCGTAGATAAAATACTATAATCCGTTAAAACCGCTATCGTGATTATCTCCAGCGATTGCTGAAACATGATCGTCTCCTGCAAAAGCGCAACAGGCTACCACAATGAATTTTGTTCGTGAATTTGCGATGGTGAAATCTTTACAGATGCTTCAAAACAATAAAAGCTCAGCTCGATTTTCTCCCTCGATCAAACATTTACGCTAGGCTTAGGAAATCAAGCCACACTCATACACCTCTATTTTACAGCATAAAATCTGGATAGAAAAGTTGAAGTATCAAAATCTCTGCCTTGCCGTACATGGTTGACTAGAGCAAGGCCTACAATGGTACCAAGTCCATGAGATTGCCTGTCGGCTGCGTCATAGACTCGGGGAAGAACACGGCCAGCTGCTCGTACAACTTGAACCTGTGCTGATGCAGGTCGCTCTCACCCAGCGACTGGCACTTCTTGTCTTGGAATATCAGGGACGCCAACTGCTGGAACTGAAAGAAAAATACCTTGTAATGTAGACCCCTTCATCCCATCTATATGGACCAGCTGTCGCCAATCTTTTATTAAAAAAGAACATAGTTGAGTGACCCAGTTACAGAATGCGCTAGTGTCTAAAACTCTATTTTCTACCCTATTTTTTATTGCTGACAGTTGATGGGTTGACAATTGCTATAGCTTACAATATTATGTTGTTCCATCAGTTTGACTTAGTAAAAAGTATGTGTATTCAACAGAAATGAGCAATTTACACGTACATCAGCATAATGCAGGTTAAGTGTAAGAAAGGGCCATGTGGCCCTAACTTTGCCTGTTGAAATAAAGGATTTTCATTTCATTTCATAATCTGTCGGTGGCTCACATCAACGACGGAGATTTTAATTGTTTCCAGCTGGAGAAAATTGTAAGCACTTTGAGATTATGCAGGGCTAACAGCAAGTAGTAGAGGTCTGCAGGCCAGACATTTTTACTTTTTGGCCCTCAAGTCTCAGGGCAAAAATCTGATTGCTTTGAAAATTATTGATTCTTAAGCCCCGTACATTAGGTGATTTGGTCGCTCGTCGATGAGCAATTAGATTGTCGGTTGAAACATGATTCCAGAAATCAGTCAGGTAATCAAAATGAAATCATATGGCAATCAAATCAGAGCTTGTTGATCAGTGTGGAAGAGTGTGTAGAATGGAGCTTGAGTTTAACATTAAATTATTGAGAATGAATTAACAACTGTTTTCGATACAGTGAAAGGAAATTATAAAGATTATAATTCTCACACCAGGTGACGCCAGTCAGACTTAAGTGCACATGCACGTGGAAAATATCGCTCGAGATGATTACTCGGTCCCAAAACCTTAGCAATCTTGTCCCCCAGCAATCTCCAAATCGCCGGCTATTTGGTGGATTGCCAGGAAAAATTCAGCAATCAGGAAGTTGCCGTGCGATGTCAAAATTGACGGTAATCCGATTAAAACACGGATACATTGTGAGATATTAACGCAATATGGTCGCCAGGGCCAGGGCAGGCCCCACTTTTGACAATACATTGATAAATTAAAACATCATAACAATCCTGAACCTTCTAGGTTATTTTAGCTTCACACAGTTAACATAGGCTGTTATTGTTTCTTACATGAGCAATCAAATTCTACTTCATGTTAAAATTGAGCTTTAAATCTTTACAATAAATATCAGGGTGATACATATGTTTTTCCCAATACCAGATATGACTGTCCAGGAAAATAGTTTCAAGCAGTTAGTGTACACAAATAGCTAACAGCACATAGTTTGATTGTCCTATAGACAATTAATTTGAAGAAGTCCCCTATATGGGGACTTCATTATAAAAGAAGCAGTATAACACTTCCTAGAATTCTGCTTCTCAAGTAAGTTAGTTGCGTATCCATTCCTTCTTCCTCCACTGATAAATTTCCTTGTACACTGGCCACAAGTACTGGATAAAGTGACCAGTTAATTTCTAAGTCATTTTTTGTATTCATAGTGTGTTTTTACTGGAGGAAATAAATTAATTATTTCCTGTATTCTTAAGCCAAAAACAAATATGACTGTTGTGATTTTTCCAAAAGAGAAAATACAACTTAACCAACAAATCTTGGTAAACTTACTTCCTTAGTCTGGTCAGGGTCTTGGTGATCTATTATCTCCGAGAGGGAAGTTTGTAGGTAGTGTAAAGCAGAGAGACTTTCTGTCATAGCCAACTCCCGATACCTGCACATTAGTTGCTGAGATAAGGCTAAAGGTTTTGTACTAGGTGACAAATTTGTTAATTACAGTTAATCCTTGCTGGTTAAATGCTTGTTTAATATTTTGATCAAATTCAGTAGCACTCGCCAAACCACATTGAAAAAGACTTATTCATCAGAAAACTTCACCATAAGGTTAAATTATCCTAAACAAACAAAACTAATGTCAAATTTCTAGTAGTTTCAAACAGCAGAGAGGTTTATAATTTCTAAACAAGAAACAAATCATTTCTCTTTTTAATACAAGTGAGACAACTTAACAATGTAAGTAGTTTTATATTAAGGTCAACCGTAATAGAAACCAGCCTTAGACAAATCACATAGAATAATTAGTGAACCTGTGTGGTAAGTTTAATTATAACTGGTAGGATAATAATAATAATAACCTATATTATTAATTATATTAAGGTGTATAAATTAATTAGAACATAAATAATAAATATACAAAATTCTATAAAAGTTTATAATAAAAGCCATTTTTGGGGCAGCTTCAAAGAGCTTATTTCGTACACTTTTAAGCTTATACACCACTGCAAAGCACAGGATCTCCACTACTCAGGACCTGGCTGTTCTCTAAATCACACTTAAGTCAGTGACTTGCCTGAAGGTCCGAATCAGCACTTTGCACCTTTGCAGCAACTGCGAATGCGAAGGTTTGAACAGCGAAAGTTTCCAGAAGTCGTCCAAACGCAACTTGGGCAAACAAGATCTGCCGGGGTTGCCACCAAACAAGTAGTGAACCTGTCACAAGACATGGGAGATAATAAAGCATGATCTAAAAGTGTGCAATTGCTTGAACAAAGAAACCAAAACTTGATTTCAAACTTTCGTTAACCTTACAGGGCAATTTGGTCTCATGAAACATCATTTTTCTGGGAGTGAGTGAGTGAGTGAGTTGTAAAGTGTTGTGTTTCCTGTGCCAGTTTAGACTCTTTCCCATTCAGGTAAGCCTGCTATCCTCTCAAAAAATTTTAAAAGCCTAGGCCCATGTGCTCTATGCTACACCCTTCACCTCAATTTAATGTTAGGTAAGGTAAACTAGATTCTACACCCAACTTGTGTTATAGGTCTGAATAGTACAGCCAGAATTATAGGGCCTCTGGTATAGAAAAAAGTAAGGAGTATTTTGCAGGACTAAATATTCTTTTAGTACGGCTTTTGGTACACTAAGACAGCCTTTTGAAATAAAATGGACACTTCACATTGTATAGTAAATGTGGAATGTTGTTAAGGACATATACCCTCCTTTAGCTATCGCTGTCCTTTGGATGATACAATACTTTTTTAATAAATAATTTGGATTTTATAAGAATTGGTCTTTAAGAGAAACTTGGACATTATCAGACACTCCAATAGTATTGGACTTTATGAGAATTTCCTAATGATTGAGTTTTGGGCATTACTCACTTTGTTTACGTGATCGTACACGAGCTGGTGTGCGAACCTTGGGCAAGGCTCCACGTGTTGCATCTTGTTCCAATACTGCTCTCCGGTGTTTTCATTCTGATATACACAAGACCTAATTAAACAAACCGTGCTTAACACCAAGTCAGCATTCTTTGGAGACGTTACAAATAGGTTCGTACAACAATCAAATTATTTAAATATAAATATTTTGACTTGATTTTTAACACCTATATAATTTAATAGATTTTAAGTAAAAGCCAGTGAACCAATATTCTTAATTAAGTTTGCTGAACTGTTGTGTTCAAGATTTGCAGTGGGATGGAGTTCAAAAGGAAATTATGAATTTTAAAATGTATTTCTTATGAATCTAAACTGCGGTATAGGACTTCTAATCGCAAGTTCAAACTAGGTTGAAATATGTAAATTGTGTAACCTTAGGCCTATAATGAGTCAAAAATTTATCTTGGACTTTAACTTTCTCAGGTAAGAAAATTGCACTCATCTTTTTTTGGGATTTGCTGAACTATGTCTCTTATTTCCAAAAAACTACTTAGCCATTACTTATAATATCAAATAGCATAAAGTTGATGGATATATTTTGGACAAACCACCCTTCAGGAATGTAATAATGCTTACATATTAAATAAATATGGGTTGTTTTGGAAGTATGGCTTGTAAAAAAAAATTCCCCAATGCAGCAAACTTGCAGACTAAGCGAATCTTAATGTTTTTAGGTGTTTTTCACTACCTACTGTAGTATAATATTAATACCCCCACCGCAGCAAACCTGCAGACTAAGTGAATTTCAATTTGCCTAATTGGATTTACACTAAAATGTCTACTTAAAAATATCACATTTATTACCTATTTAAATAGAATTAGTTTAACGAGTACTTAGGTTTGCTGCAACAGAGAGGGTAAAAAAGTGTCTTTTTTGTAAAATGTTAATAGTTTAGTAAGAAATAAATGCATCTTCCAAATTTGATCAAAATATGTTCATAAACAAGCAAACTACAACAGTTTACTTATTCTCCATAAGAATAAGGTGAGAATTTTAAATTTAAATTTCTCCCTAATCATTAGGCGCATAATAACACTTCATTATACAAAATTATTTGTTTTTTTGAGCTCTAAAAAATGGTATGGAAAGTTATTGCTAAATTTTATGTTTTTTTTGGGTAAAAAATAAGAAAAACCTATTTTTACCCCATAAACCCACGTCCCCCCCCATAGTCCGATCATGCTGGTTCGCGAACTTATTTGAATAAATGTTGGTTTACACTTTACACGATTATACCAAATTTCATCAAAATTGGATCACTTTTGCTCGAGCTATCGTGCTAACGGTCATATATATACAGTATATATATATGATTTTGAACGGATGGTGTTTTGGCCTCTAGGGACCTCAAAACAAAAAGTAAATCGGTCCCGGGTCCAGGTCTTACCATGAGTACTACGGTAATAGCTTATTCCCTATATGGGAAATTCGCTAAAAGATACAACAGTAAACACTGTACCATCTATCTTGGGCGATGTAGTAGACCCAAAATGAGTTTTGCACGTTGTCATCCCGTTTTTCCTTGTCTTTACTCAAACCCTAAAACAATCAATAAAACAGATCCTAAAATTAATGTTCATTCAAATTCAATTCAATTCAATTTATTCAATACAAACACAATGACAAAGGGCATTATAACACTAAGCTACAGAGGCCTCATAAAAGGCTTGTCCGTAGCATTTCTTGGTTTAACTTAGGGATGGTCAAGTCTCGAAATTTCGGGAAATTTTCGGGAAATTTTAAATCTCGTTACACGAGACAAGATTTCTTTTTGGCCGAGATTTTTATCGAGACGAGAAAAAAAAAATTAAAAAAATTAAAAACTCCTGCAGAAAGTCAATGCAATACAGGAGCGTGTTGTAGTTGCGTTTCCTTTGCGAAGGCGTTCTTATTTAATTAATTATTTAAAAGTAAATATTACTTTAATTATTTTAATAATATTACTTTAATAACATTTGAGAAGTTTTGTTAAGTGTAAGCAGTGTGAGGAATGTTTTATTACTATAAAAAGTCAAAACAAGTAACTATTTTATAAAAAATAATATTGCTTTTATTTTATGATTTATTTTATTTTAGGATAAGTTGAACTCTATCCTAACTGATATCACTATGTTTCCTAATCGTAGGCATTTTTAATAAGTTAGGCGGGATTAATAAAAAAATTTTATGCTGATGTTTTTTAATAAATGATTGTAAATATTCTTGCCTATTATCATTATTTTTGTATTTAAACAGTCATCTGACAATGTTACAAAATCAGGTAAAAATTTTGAACGTGCATTTCCCGTTATGTATGAGAAGGGAAATCCCGTCTCGATCTCGTCTCGAAATTTTATGAGAAATAAAAAATCTCGTCTTGTCTCGTCTCGAACTAAAAATCCAATCTCGTCCATCCCTAGTTTAACTTAAATGTCTTTTTCATGCATCACGTTGAGTCAGCCATAATCAGGTTAGAAAAGAAAATAAACTACAGTACAGCATTTTATAAATAGTGAACAGGGTTTAAGGTTTTAAGTGATGTGAGGAATCCCATCACTAAAACTTTGTATTAATTGTTAATTTGGAACTTAAAACATTAACATGATTTTAAAATATTTCCAAACGGTTAGGGACAGTTGTAATAGATAAATACAGTTTCAGTTTATTCAGTTAAACAATTAACATTATAATACATAATGCATCTGTAACGTTTCCAAACTAATAACATTTTAGCTTGATAGGACTAGAGAAAATATCAACTACATAATTAGTTAATACTACGGGCTGCACGGACCAGGATAGAGGTGTGACGGTCGCTGGACTAGAGCAGACTGGAGTAGTGGTTAGATACACGGGTATGGCGTGGTCGCGGCAGCCAATGGGAATTTATTAATATCACCTGATATGACGCCACAGACATGGTGTGATATGGTGTGATGCACGCACACACAGGCACACATTTACATTTTATACAAATCAGATTTTCTACAAGAAACTCTGTTTTACAAATATACTACAGCATCAATGAAAAGTAGATTAACTTTATAGGGGTTATGCATAATAGTCATCCTGTGTTTATATCTTCTTAACAGACTCTTTTTCTCAATTAAGGTTTTAGACAATTAACAAAATTGATTTGTGAAACTTATTTAAAGGCAATTGAGTAAAAATCTCATGTTAGTAAAAAAGTGAACTTTAATACGACCTTTACAGAAGGAAAGGGAGACCTGTGGTAAGAGAACTTGAGCTGAACTCTATAAAATCAAGTCACTGCTAATCAAGACTGGCTGGTTTTGAATTTACGGTTTCAGGACAAATGTCTTGAGTTGTAATCACTGACCCAACCGGGTCCGCGGAATTGGCTAACTCTGGAACTCGCTAACCCCATGTTAAAAGCCCTATCTTCAAATTTGGTCGATGAGAGGAACTCGCTAACTTGTTCGGTTTCGGAATTGGCTAACTCCGGAACCCGCTAACCCGCTCTAGAGCCGGGTTAGCGAATTCCGTCCTCGTACGGAAGTCGCTAACTCGGTCCCTCGGCGGAACTCGCTAACTCCCAATGAGAAGCCTCGCGGGCCGTCCAATGGGAGCCAAGCACGAATATTTTTGGCCAGTGTTACCGAAAGTGTAGTACCTATATTGGTACCATAATGTCGTATCCTACGATTAATTAGGAGTAAGAGCAACGCAGTTGATCAAATAAATATATTGAGAAGTATGTTTAACATTATTCTCATGATTATTAGGGTGGAAAATGCATTATAGTCTTACCATAGACTAACCAACACAAGTAAACTTTATATCCCATTGTAAACTTTGAAGCTCTTTTCTCGTCTAGTTCATGTCCGGTGACACTGATCGCTAGTGTCGACAAAATTGTGTTTCTATTATTTCTATAGTTAACTTCATAATATGCTCTTTACTGTTTGGTTATATAACTAGGGGACGTGTTATTAGTTGTGATTAGGACGTTTTATTTGGTTAAACGAGGTTTTAAATGACTGGAAACAAGAAACAATTGTAAACAAAACACGACCTCTAAAGACAGTGCACCGGACAGAACTAACAATAAAACTGTTTTCAGCTGATCCATAAGGATTAGAAATATACTAATATAAGGGAGTATGTTTTATATTTGGGCTTCTTACTTAAATAGTAGCTTTATGGTATGCAAAAAGATAAAAATGTACATTTAATTTGGATCTTTTACATGTTATGAAATATCTATTTTCGTAGTTCGCCATTTGTTTCTTTTATTCGAATAAATACCATTTTTTGAACTTCTGCAAATAAATTATTGAGTTTGTATTTTATATACTGGGCTTGTAACCTTGAATCATAAAATTGAATCATAAATCATGATAAAATTTACACGTTAAACGTCAGTCCAGAAATACATTGTAGTGGTAATGTATTTTTAAATAGAGCTATTGAATTTAAATACATATTTATCAATACAATATTATAAAGTTGTAGGCCTAATTTATTCATAGATTGCATTAAAAATTAGTCTATTTAAAACATGTAACATTATTACTAAAACATTCAACACATTTTAGAATTAGGCAACTATTTACTAGTAGGCCTACAACGTTTTGGCTTAAACTATTAGGCCTAGATAAAAGCTTAGTCTAATGTCATATTTTTACACGTAAGTTGGGCGATTCAACGACGAACATTTAATTTTAAATCTATGAATTAGTTATGAAAGTTACGATGGTTGATGACTGATGGTTGATGTTTGATGACATTACGATTAAATTTGTTTTCCGTGTTTGAGAACTAGCGTGTATTTTAGCTTAATTTCGTAGAGGTTTTATTATTTAGTACCTTTTCAATATTTTTCAACTCTATTATTTTCTTTTATACTTATGGCATTTATATTTAAGATCGATATCATAAACATTTAACTGGCCATTTTAGAGTTAAATAAAAAAAAACTTTTCATGATTTTTCAATAATTGTCTTTGAATTACATTGGGCTAGTTATCTGTTAAAAGTGAAATTGATAACAAAAACAATTACATTTACTGTATCTTCATTGACACTGATATTTTGAAATACGGTAATGTACGATTATTTTATCGTGCAAGGTTGGCAACGCTCCATGCAGTGGGCGCTGCCGGGTTAGCGACTTCCAGAGTTAGCGAATTCCGCCGCGAGACAAAATCGAGTTAGCGGGTTCCGGAGTTAGCCAATTCCTGACTGAGACGGTTAGCCAGTTCCAGAGTTAGCCAGTTCCGACACACGACCGAGTTAGCGAGCTCCTGAGTTAGCCAATTCCTACGTCTCACCCAACCACACCTCTACGTTACAGTACGGCAATAATACCTTCTACTCACACCCATGATTAGGTGAACTAGGTCACTATCAACTAGGATTAGGTGATTTAGGTCACTCAGATTAGGTTATGTTTTGAAATGCCGAATACAAATTGATGTGCGGTACTTACAGAGAGAACATAGATTTCGTTGAGCGTGGGATCAATAGTAGCTCGTTGAGTAAAGCCTGCGGCGGAGAGAGAGTTGATATGTTTCTTGGACCCGTCACTAATCACCCTGATCACACCAGTGTCTACGTCGTAGGTTAGAAAGTCATTAAGGTACTCCTTGCTGCGCTGGCCGGCGAATATGAACAGTTTGCGCTCAATCTGCAAAACGATATCATAGTTTATTGACAAAGCAAAAATAATTAACTTAAGTATTTGATTACTTTTATTGAATAGTACAAACAGAATAAAAAAGAGATAGAACCAAGATTTGTGAGAATGCAATCAAATAAATTGTATGGTTAATTGTAAACAACTGAAATGAAAATATGATGATGAGCTATGGAATGTGGTTTTCCACCGCCACGAACCTGCATACTATGCAAATTTCCCTGATATTTCCTCAAAATTGAAAAATGTATTCCTTAGTTAAATAACATTAAGTCCAATGAATAGGTTCTACTTAGTTTTTTCCTGCTGCAAGGAAATGAATAATATCTGTTTTTTTTAGTGAAATGTTGATAGCTTAGTAAGAAATAAAATATCCGCTAATAAAATTAGTACTAATTGTAAATATGATTTGCTTTGTGTCTGATAGTTTCCTACAGTCGGGACCACGAAAGTTTGCAGTTGAGGGAGGAGCCTATTTATCATATGGTTTTCAATGAACCAATGAGAACCGTGCCGTGTTGCCAAATCTAATAATACCAGCTGATTTGAAAATATTGCTTAGTATATGTTAATTAGTGTTGTCAACGGGCGATGTGGCAACGTCGCACTAGCCTTGTCTTGTGATTGGCTGCCACCAACTGCAAACTTTTGTGGTCCCGACTTTAATAATTTAATGACATAAATAAATAGGCCTATACATAATACACTTATCAAATGTTATTTGATGGGAAAGTATTAAATAAACTCTTGGGTGGTGGGGTGTGTAGCTGACTAACCATAACATTTGCTATCGGGGTACTTATGAAAAATGGGTATTTATAATTCTAGACAAGGGTTCTGTCCGACTGTCGGAGGCAAAGCCGAGTGCGAAGGCTGACGTACTCGATAATAATACTCAAATAAATTGCACATAGGACCGTGCAACATGGGAATGCTTTTATGGGGCAAAGAAAGTAAGGATGACTAACCTGAACCTATACTTCCCTATCAATCCCTGACAATCTGTCCCAAGCCCATATGAGAGGTAACTGAGATGGCAGAGGAAGAGAAATGAAATTGTGGAAGGATGCAACAAGAAGAGGTCTTGTCGATACCCAGACCTAGGAATCTAGGAATGACCGGAATGCCAGAGTACATTTGGTTATGTTGTATGTATGTAGGCCTACTAAAAATACTAAAGAATTAAAGTCTAATCAATATTCTTCTTCTCTCTCATAGGTGTAATATCATTGACATTTGGATACTGAAGTAAACATCCCATCTATATGGATCAGCTGTAGTCTACAATACATAGTTGAATGAATCAATCACAGAATGTGCAAACATCTAAAACTCTATTTAAGCCTTAGCTTTTGTTACTTGTAGAGGCATAGAAGATGCAATTGATTACAAATTGCCCTATCACTTTGATTTGGTTAAAAAGTTGCTGTTTTCAAAAGAAATTAGTAATAAGGGCACTCTGTTCGTGGTTCAACTCAACTACGTCCTAAAACTGGAGACAACTCCAACATGAGGATGGAATGTCTAGTTCAATCAATAGTCAAAGTTAGTATTAATTAGGGATGGATGGGTCTCAAAATTTCAAGATATTTTAAATCTCGTTCTACGAGACAAGATTTTATTTTGATTGGATATTTTAGAGACAAAATTATAAAAAAAGTTAAAAACGCCTGCAGAGAGTTAATGCAATACTTGCAATACAAGATCCCGTTGATGTTGTGTTTCCTTTGTGAAGGCGTTCTTATTTAATTAATTCTTTACTTGTAAATATTGCTTTAATTGTTTTATAATTTTTTGTTTTGACATCGCAAATGATGAGAAGTTTTGTTAAGTGTAAGCAGTTTGAGACATGTTTTACTACTATAAACATAGCCAAAATAAGTCACAACAAAATCATTCTACTTAACCAGTAAGAATGATAAATTTTGTGTTTTTCAAAGTTGAACTAAATTCTAACGTTCCTAACCTATTATTATTGTTTTTGTATTTAATCTATCATATATCAATAGGTATTTAACAATGTTACAACATTAGGTTAAAATGTCGAATGTGCATTTCCCGTTATGTATGAGAAAGGAAATTGTGTCTTGATCTCTTCTCAAAATTTTATGAGAAATAAAAAATCCCGAACTAAAAATCTAATCTCGTCCATCCCTAGTTTTAATATTCAACAATACTTCCCATAGCACAACAACTATTTACTGACCGGATGAAACAGCATGGAATGCCCTACTCTGGAGCGAAGGCCAGGTTCTGTGTTAGAGTTGCTAGGTGGGATGTCGGAACACAGTAGTTTCCAAGTGTTGGTGGCAACATGATAGGAGTACAGGCCTGAGAATATGGGTTCCGACGACCCAACCAATCCCAGGCAGCCTGGTCGCTCCTCCGACACACTGCAGGGAAACAAATCAATTTAAAAAGCCGTTATAGTATTTATTGTATATAAATATATATAAATAAACACATGGAAATATGTTATAGCATTATTGAAGGTCAGTGGAAAAGCTTAAACAATCTTGTAATGGTATTTTGTTATAGAAAGTTGAATAGTTTGAAATAGTTTTGAACTTAAGGTGCCTAATATAGCCTAGACAATAAACTACTCGACTATCTGATCATTAGTAGTTTGACGCAATCTGCCAGTGATCGATGCTGTGAAATTGATTGTCTGTAAGCCTACTTGGAAGATAGGACTTATCAGGTTTTAGGCACCCCCACTTGCCTGTACTTGGCCTACTTATAGTTTAGCGCGATACATTCAACACGGTTGGTCAACTCCTCACAAGTAGGGCCTAGACATAACTTTCTGTTAATCCTCATGTCTTCGTCGATGCAAATAACGACCTGTGTATGAGGGAACAAATTACTTTATTAGGCTACATAGTTTTGGTGTTTTTACTTTGTCACTAGTTTTTTATTGGTCATGATGGATTGAAAACGGAAATAATTTTGTTGGTTTTCTAAGATAAACGTTAAGCTTTCAATAAGCTTGACAAGTGAGAAACATGATGGATTTAATTATAATTTATTTGTAACATGTTAACAATGATTTGTATTAGTTTTTTTAAATAAATATATAGGATGGAGAGGACACAGCTAACTCAACTGATGAAAGGTTGCAGACGAGTCAAAGAACACATAATAATACTTGATATTTCGCCTCTTTCAGAGGCTTCTTCAGAAGTAGGCCTAGATGGCAGTTACAAGAACAACAGTTTAAAATAGGATGACACAGTTTGAATTCAAAATGTCTGACATTTTCATGGACAAAACTAATTTGCTTTTCAATATACATATTATATGTAAATACAATATTGCAATGTGCCTGTTTAGTGCTTTGTGTAGTGTCAGTTGGACAACCTGTCAGACATTTTGAATTCAAACTGTGTCATCCTATTTTAAACCGTTGTTCTTGTAACTGCAATCTAGGCCTACTTCTGAAGAAGCCTCTGAAAGAGGCGAAATATCAAGTATTATTATGTGTGTGTTTTATGTGTTCTTTGACTCGTCTGCAACCTTTCATCAGGTGAGTTAGCTGTGTCCTCTCCATCCTATATATTTATTTGATCCAAGCTAAATGCTTTTTCCTAAAAACATAACCTATTAGTTCTTTTAGTAATCTGACCTATTCTCTCAGTGAAACTATAACTTCCTATAGCCAGTTTGAGTCCAGAATTAAAAATAAATTCTGTAAAATTTGTTTTTTACTTTTTAAATCAATTGTACCTCACTGACAAGTTTTGTAAACTTGGCGAGGCCAAGCCAATTTAAAATTAGGAATAAATATATTTGGATTTAAAGTAAGATTTTAAAACTCTACTACAATTTTATCGTAGAACTAAAAGGAGAAAGTTCAATGGTAGAATCCCGTGTATGTAGGTTCTAGAGCTTACCTCGCGTGTGCTGTAAGTACTCGACCCCCAAACACATAAATCGTCCGAGCAGCCACATCCATACACATCTGGTGATCAAATATCAACTGAGGTCCGCCCATGGTGGCTGTGTCATCCGTGATCAGTGTCCACTGATTGCTGTCTATGTCATACACGTAGAAGTCACTCTGTCAAACAACAAATGTAATAAAGAATACAAATAAAACACGTACAAACACACAATACACGTACGATACACACACACGATGATGCTGATCAAGAAGTTATACAAATAAAACACCGACATTTACTGAAACACGCCGGAACAAACTATACACCACAAGATACAAGATGCAATCCCTGAGGTAAATTCATCTGTGCAAAGCATCATGTAAACACACCAATGTACAGCTAGAACTATTCATAAACTCATTAAAAGAGAAGGGAACAGCTGTTCTGTGAAAAACAAAACATTATAATTTTTCCCTCTAAATAATTTTAAGAAACTTGTTAAGTTTCAGTTTTTACTAGGATTGCTTTCAGAGAGGTGAAAGCCAGTTGAGCGGAACAAACGTGATTTGATATTTGTATAAGTAACTAAATGCAAAAAGGTCAATAGATTTATTTACTAATGCTGGTTTTAAAGATTAAAATTATAATAATTCAAATTTACCTCTTCGAGAAGTGTAAGGTAGTTTTGACCAGGAAAATATTATAGTAGTTGGAATCTGATATTAACATCCAAAAAGGGCATTAAAGTATAAAAAAGAGAAAGGAAATTTTATCAACATTTGAAATGACTGAATTGTTACCAAATAACTGTTTCACAAAATGCAGATTCCATTTTCAGCCGAGCCATTAAAATGAGGATTTGCCGAACAATTATTAATATTACAGAATAGTATATAATGATATACAACTTTTCACATTCCATAAATTATATGTTAGTTTTGCTATGGTCAAAGATCCAAAACCAAATGTTCTCTTTTCTTTTGGTCAGTATGTAATAATTTGCTAGAATCATTGACTTTATATAAAGTCAAAGCTAGAATACTGTAGATGGTTTGTTAAGTTAAGACCATATGCAAACATTTTTTAAATCGTTTCCCCGTTTAACCTTAACCAACTATTCCATTCCAAAAGATAAAAATTATATGGTGCAACACAAATAAACAACCCGATCACCTACCTATAACCTACACTTTACCTTCCTAATCTAAACTTACTTCAAAACACTTAATGTAGTCACGAATACTCATAAACCCCGACCTACCTCCCCACCTGCCTAAATTAGATCAGTGTTCAATCTGCGTTTTATCAATAAGTGTAATAACTTACTGTACCGTCGATGTAATTCAACTTAATATAACCTATGAGGTATTATCGGATTAAATACCGATTTCGATGCGGTTCGATATATCGCTTATTAAATCCTGATTTCTAACATTGGCTGTTTCTAATCAGCTGGCAACACAAATAGGTTCCCAAGAAAGTAGTCACCGGTCCGTATCCCTCCGCTCCTTGTTTATGCTCCGCGCATTGAGAAAGTAGTTCCGTATAATTTCTCGATTTTCAGTGAATTCCGCGCCTTAAAAAATGTTTTAACGGCATTTTCTTGTTTATTAAAATTATAGGAATGGTTTAAAAACGTTTAAAAGAGAAGTATAGAAAGTTCAGTAATACCTTATGATTCTCTTGTTTACATTTTTCTTGTAAACAAAAAAACTGTCATAGCTACTTTAGTCCCATAAGCCTAATGTTAAAAATTTGAAATTTTAAGTTCGTTTTAAATTGCATTAGCATTATCTAATTGAAATTTGTTTGTTTACAAACCATCTCATTATTAGTCTAAGTAGTCTTGTTAAGTTTGGCTGAAATGTGTTCAGCCGTTATTGAGTGATGGTGTTATATTGTTTGCATTGAAGTTGATCCCAAAGAGCTTCGCTCGCTTCGCTCGCTCCGCTCAATTAGCTCTATGATATGTTTATATTTTTTTACTAAACATAATATTTCTAAATTTAAATTATGTAAATTACTTTATCATCTGAATGGAATGCTCGATGGGAAAAGATTATTTCACTGAAAAGGATGCAATATGAGTTATCAAATGGATCAATACGAAACAACTTTATTCAAATACTTGCAGATGAAATATTACTGTTGGCAAAAGGAAAAGAGATATCTGAGAGAGTAATTTGTTTCAATGCAAGTATCCTTCAAAGAGACAAAATGATTAGAAAAGCTAAGGATATAAGAAGATTAATTGAAAGAAGACTAGATGAATGGCAGAATAATCAATTTGACGAACTCATCAATGAGGCCATTCGATGTGATAAATCTTTAAAGAAAAAAAATTTTGAGCTGACTCTGGCGACTATGACCAGTTAAAATACTCTTTTTTAAAATCCTTTTTTATCATCTTTTTTTTTATAATTTGTTTGTAATTTACTCTCAAGGTCTTCACAACATCATCAACGGAGCCTTGACTACAAGAGTCATCTGCATACCAAACTTGAGATGTGTTCGGCATTCTTTTTAGTTCTTGTATTAATGGAAGTGTTGTCCGACCGTATTAAAAAATTGAGAGTGGTAAGGGTTAATAATCTAAACAGGGTTTAATTCGGATTGGCAAGACTCTGGTATAAAATTCATTTTCATCTTAAATTATTTGAGGGTACAGTTTTTCAATAGGCCTATTTTGTTATTGCTAAATAATGATGGGCATATACCTTAAGATTTTCAGGGGTCCGATACTGAGTGTCCAGGTACCTTCCCAATGTAAAAATCTGTCTTCTTTCTGGATCAAGGCACATTTTGTGGCAAGATCTTGCACTTGGTCCACCCTGGTAGAAGACAAATGAATAACGTAAAGAAAGTAGCATGAATGATTTTGATTCTTAAAGGATTAAAAAAATAACATTTGCTGAATTCTACCTTTTCCGTCTTCAAGCGATTTTGAACTAAAATTGTGATCAATCATGCCCAATCTATATCTATAAAAGAGGAGGTATGAATGTATGTACCCTATGGACTCTGAAAACACTCAACAGATTGCAATGAAAATTTCAGCCATAATTAAGAATTATTCAAGGATGGTTTGTGTGAAGTTTAGTGCAGATCCATCAAAAGGGCTCCACCCCAGTGGCTCTTGAGTTTCACAAATTAACTTACTAAAATTATGGCAATTAAAAAAAAGTTGCAAAAGCAAAAGGGCTTAGGTATTAAGGATTTGGTTGATAAAGCAGGCTTAAATGTTGAGGAAACAGTTCACTGTGGTAAGAAGAACACAATCAAAAACTTTACACTATACATAAAATTAAAATATTTTTTAACAAAGGAATGTTTTGAGAAGAGAGATGCCTTAAGGTCCTTTCCCATTCAGGTAAACCTGCTATACAGGGGAAAATCCTATAAACCTGGAGTGTTCATATAAGCAACACCTTATACATTTTCCACCACAATTTCACCAGTTTCAATGGCTATGGTTTCACCAAGTAACCTGTAAAATCTATTATGACGAATCTGTGAACCCTTGCTAGTAAAGAAGAGGATACAACTTACCTCTAGTTCAGTATCACGAGTTATCAATGTCCAGTGTTTGGTAGGAACATGGTACGCCCACAAGTCACTGAGATCCTGAAACACACATTACAGTGTTGGTGAACAGAATCACTACTGTTAATAAAAAGTACATAAACAATATGGCACTAATGTACTAGATGTACTCAAGGTATATCTTGAATGTTTTGTTACAGAAACAAGGGACAAAATAATTTCCTTTCCCGTCCATTACTATACGTAGACCTACACATGTCTATCCTGCCGACTCTTTAAATTCATACATTTACTCTTCCTTTCCAGTATTTCCCTTGCACTATTTCTTAAGCATCCATATTAAGATTGTCAATTTTTTTCTCCAAATGTTCACATCCTAGGAAATCATTTTAGGCTCAGGTGCAAAATCGTTTGTTTTACACTTTCCATCAGGCTGGTCTACTGAGTTGGGAAATGGAAAAATTATAATTATAAAAAAGAAACCATGTTCACTTGAGCAATAAAAACAATGTAAAAAAAAAGTAAACAGAAAGAAATAATAACATATGATAAATAAATATACACATGTTAAATGCAGATCAAGGGGGAAAAGTCTTGAACATACTGCCCGCCTTAAAGCCACGAAGGGCTTTAACCAGAGTCAAGAAATGGTGTCACACGTTGTAGTCGAGTGGAACAATCACGCTTCTTTTGGAGGGACACTATTTCATCTGCAAAGGTGGCTTGTTGAACATGATGAAATATCTTGAGACGAGCTTTGTAGATTTCAGACGATGAGAGAGGACCACTGAGACGGTCATTTTGATGACGACAATTGTGAATGAAGCGGTTAAGAAGAGCGACAATGCGTTGGAGTTTGTTCCACGATGAGTAGGCAGAAAGAAGTTCCCACTCCTTTTGAGGATCTGATGTAAGAACAACTAAAGGTGTCGATGGGAACAAGTTCTTGAGTTTGAGAAACCCTGTTGGCTACATATGTCTTGACGTCTTGAGTTTGTAGGGTGGAGTCCGTAACCATGTCAAGACTATCGAGGAGTCACTCCATAGATAGATATTTTTGATGGCAATTTTATCTGAGAAGAAAGAATGGCAATGTGCTACTAATTGCGCGAGAAGATGAGCAGCACAAAGCTCAAGGCGAGGAAGAGTTACTCTTTTGAGAGGAGAGACACGAGTCTTTGAGATTATTGGGTGAATGATGGTGTCACCATTAGACATCTGACAGCGGAAATATACGACAGCAGCGTAGCCGCTCTCTGACGCATCTGCGAAGCCATGTAATTCTACGGTGCATGACAGGGAAAACTGTAACGCTCGAGGAATAGAAATTTGAGATAAATATTGAGTATCGATTAGGAATGAATGCCATTTTTCGGCGAGGTTAGTGGGCAGGGGATCATCCCAGGATAAGCCTGTGGTCCATAGTAACTGCATAAAACATTTTGCTTGCATGATGCAGGGAGCGAGAAATCCACAAGGATCGTAGATTTTTGCTATGATGCTCAAGATCGAACGTTTTGATGGATGAGGGTCCATAGGGAAGTTAAGGTTGTAAGTGAAGCAGTCAGAGTGGGGAGACCAATGTAGACCAAGTATTGTGAAGTGTGGCTGTTCAGAATCTTGGAGAAAGACGGGAGTCTCAAGATGCTCCTTGGGGAAAGCTTGTAGAAGACGATCAGAGTTGGAGACCCATTTACGTAATTCAAATCCTCCTCTTCGTAACAGGTTGACCAATTGATCTTGAAGTTTCAAGGCCGTTTCCTCAGTATCCGCACCAGTGATGATGTCGTCAACGTAGGTTTGCGTTCTGAGTACTTCTTCAGTTTTCTTTTGACGATTTGGAAGTTCTTTCTGAGTCCAGAATCGCTGAAGTGAGGACTGAAGGTCAACATCATTGGATGAATGGAGGGAGACGGTGTGACTGATGAAATTTGGTGTGGAATTTCTTGGTATTTCACAGGGTGCAGAACCCATCACGATGTATCCAAAATGAGTTCCTATTACGTGGGGCATATGTTGGCCAAGAGAGTAATTTTCATGAGTTAGTAACTTAGGGAAGAGAGAGCAACCAAGCACGATATCAATGCGTCCTGGCAGGTGAAATGATGGATCAGCTAAACAAAACCGTTTAGTGAGCGATAATACTTCCGGAGAGACTGGAACACGAGGTAAGTCAACAGTCAATTTGTCTAAAATGAGCATTGGATGTTGCGGAGATATGAGAAATCCAGAAAGAGTTTCAAGATTGAGGTAAGTTTGCCCATTACTCTTAGCAGCATTTTGGCCAAGTCCAGAAAGTTGAACATTTGACTTGTAGCGTCGAGCATTTAAAAGTTGAGCTGCTCGTTCAGTGATTAAGTCGCACATGGAGCCGGAGTCAAGTAAGGCACGGAACACATGAGATGTGCCTTGAACTGAAGTGACCTTTATCAAAAAAGTTCCCAAGAGTATAGTGGAGCTTTTAAAAGGTGGCTGAGAGTGATCTTGTGAAGTTGAAGTCATTGAGGTTTGAGTAGGCTCATGTGGGTAACACACATTTGCATTGACAGGCTTAAAATGATTTTGATCAACAAGAGGTGCAGGGAAATGTAACAAAGTGTGATGTTTCTTGTTACATGTACGACATGAAGTTTGTGAATGGCAATCTTTGAGGTTATGATGGCCTAGACAGGAGACACAGCGATGATTTTCTTTGACGAGGTTATGTCGCTCATGCGGAGATTTATTTTAGAACACACTGCAGGCATAGATCTTGTGTTCGTTTGAGTTACATGCAAAACACTGCCAATGAGTCGGTTTTTTGATGCCGGTTGAATGAGATGACTGATGGGGGGAAGTGTGGGTCGTGGCCATAGCAACGTTTCTTGAGCAAAAGTGTACTTGCTTTTGTGTAGTGTCTTTGGGTGCATGAGCAAAAGTGTTATTAATTTTATTCAGTGTGGGAGCGCTGTGTAGATTTGCATCCTCAGCCTGAGAGCATTCAGTGTTCAGATATTTTATTATATCTTTGACCTCGGGAAGTGAGTGAGAATTCGGCTGATTTTCGGTTGAAGACCGGAACATTTCAAGCTTTTTGCGTAAATCAGCATCCATCTTACGCAAGAGCAGTGCGGAGAGAAGGGGATTATTATTTGTAATGTCACATTCCAAAGCTTTTAACGCTTGCGTGTGTTCAGTGAAACAATTTACAAAATGGCGAAGTCCTGTTATAGTAAATGCATTAATGGTAGGAAGGTCCAAAATGTGATTGAGGTGCAAAGATTGTAAGCGGCGTTCATTGTGATATCTATCACGGAGGAGATTATATGCAACCAAATAGTTAGCTTCAGTAAGATTCAAACTTTTGACTAAGTCGAGGGGTTCTCCGTTAAGTACACTTAAGAGGTACTGAAATTTCATGACACTGGAAAGCGATGCGTTTTGGTGTATTGCAGTATCAAACAAATTTATAAAACTTGTCCAAGTTAGTGGGTCACCGGAGAATTTTTGTAAATCCAATTTTGGAAGGCGTACTGCTTGCGAAATCGGTGTTTGGTGAAGAGAAACGGAAGAAGAGTCACTTAAGATAGCAGAATTTGAAGGTTCAGGATGGGACATTAAGAACTCAATAGTAGCCACGATATGAGAAAATAAACTTTCAATTTCATCCAGGTCTTGAGACAATGTCTCGTCAGAGATAGGATCCTCTTCTAAGATTAAAACCTGTTGCACATTGTTGTCGAATTCTTCTTTTCTTTTACGAATTTCATTTAAATGAGCATTTAGTTGTTTAATTTGAATAGGGGTGAGTTGTTCCGTTGAGGTAGAGTATTCATCAACAGTATATTTAAGCTTATTAAAACGAGTTTTAATTAGAGATGTTGAGCGTGTGTATGTGGATGACTTAAAATCAGAAGTTTTAGGAGCCATTGTAGTAGTAGAACACAAAATTTAACAGCGGCACACACAATATAAAAAGGTCTTGAGCACACACAAAATCTCAGTATGAAGTAAAAAAGATGAATTGTACATCAAAGATATAGATCATAAGTTTCTTTCAATAAAGTCTTTAACTAAAAGGAGGAATGTATAGTCTATTAAGTGCACAAAAAATTAATAAACTTGAACTTGTTTGATTGATTGGCACCAAAAATATAGTATTAAAGTAAGTAAAGAGTTCATTTCATATCGTGATCTGAGTCCAAAAAGATTATAATCGGGTAAACTTCAAAAACAATAAATTACTAGTGGACTGTAAGGGAACTAAGTAGAACATTTAGATTATAAATGGGGTAATGTTAACAAGGAATGAATATAGTTACCAGGTTTTCATCCGGCTGCGAATTAGGACCAAATGTTGGATTGGGAAATGGAAAAATTATAATTATAAAAAAGAAACCATGTTCACTTGAGCAATAAAAACAATGTAAAAAAAAAGTAAACAGAAAGAAATAATAACATATGATAAATAAATATACACATGTTAAATGCAGATCAAGGGGGAAAAGTCTTGAACAGTTTGTTTTACACTTTCCATCAGGCTGGTCTACTGAGTCACAGTGCTTTATCATAGATAAAATCCATTGGTGACTGGGGGGATTTGAACCTGAGACTTTGAGGAACAATGTCCTACCCACTACCACTATACCAGCTTGTTCCAACGGATACCAGACCTTCTGCTAGACTAGGTGATTATGGTAGATCTCTTCATAACCCCTTAAAACCCGCTTCTTAATAACCCTCCTTAAAAAGATTTGTAAATCTGACCAGAAACAACCCAAGTAGATTATCCCTTTAATGGAGGTTATAGTTAGGCCAACAGAAAAGCCAAATGGCTATAACAACTTTTTATCTTTGAAAAAACAATCTCTGAAGCAGTCCTATATTAGGATAAAATAGCAGTTTCATGTTTTGTGGCCTTTTATAGTGTGTATTTTCCCCTGGACTCAATTTTCACAAACTAGCTCAACTCAATTTCTTTAAAAAATTCTATCGCTAATCGTTAACCATGATATACCTGATTGCCGTCCCAGCCTCCCAACAGGTAAATAGTCTCCGTGTGAGGATCCATGCACATCTGATGTCCGCCGCGCATGCCTGGCCTCGTCTTGTCACTGGCCAGCATGTGCCAAACAGCTCGGTACTCCTGTTTTGACACATACCAGTTCAACAGCCCACCTAGATAGACAAACAGACTATTTAGCAAATATGACTTGATTTTAGGGTGTGTATGACAGTATCGGACTTCAATGCAAGAGGGGTGAGTTTAAACCCCAGACATACACTACAAAATATTTTAAAGGTTTGGATCTCTTACATTTAAAAGCGTTTCCGATTCAATCAAAAAGCCACGGGTAAAAACATTTAAGCGAAATTGCATAAAACAAGGGCTAGACCCTATGAATAGACTACTGCCATCAATCAAAAAACAATGTTGCCTTCACTTGTAGCTTAATAGCTAAGGGGTTATTGTACCTCCAATAGCAATCAAAAGGTTGCCGGTTTGAGTTATCCTGTGCATCAGAAACCTTTTTAGTGAAGGTTTGAACTGGACTGAGCTGTACTTGTTCACTAAATTAATTAATGGCCCTGGCTAAAGAACAGACTTAAGGCAGGTTTACACATTCTGATAAAACATTTAACTTGTCTGTAACCGCTAATTGCTCCGTTTTTCCGGATGTTTAGACGTCTTTTACTACAACTCCCCTTTCACTTCTAAGGCTTTTTGGTGTTCTGTTAATGACTTGCAATGTTACTATTGTGATCTACGTACAGGGCCGAATTTCCCAATAGGCCCAGGCCTATGGGCGCGCCCTAGGCTCCCAGGGGGAGCACGATCGATGGGTAATTTTTTTTCTAGTTGAATAAAATTAAATAGCCATAACTTAACATATTTTGCAAATTGATTTTTTTTAATCTGGCTAATACAGCATTCTGAATTTGATGTTCATTGGAACAAAATATAATTTTTGTAAAGTTAAAATATTTTTTATTTTTTATTTATTTTATTTTATTTGCCTTGAATAAACTATTATCATCAAAGCTGTTTTCTGTCAACACAAAACTAAAAATTTACAAAACTGTGATTCGTCCAATTCTGCTTTATGGTTCTGAAACATGGACTCTGGACAAAAGTACTGAAAAAAACTTGTCACCTTTGAAAATAAAGTACTAAGAAAGGTTTTTGGACCAACAAGAGAAAATGGTGAATGGAGGATCAAACATAACAGAGAAATTAGAGACCTGTATAAAGCACCAGATGCTGTGGCGGAAGCAAAAAGTCGACGAATAAGATGGCTCGGGCATGTGTTAAGGAGAGAAGATGATGCATTGATAAAGAAAGTTTGGAAAGAGAACCCTGTTGGAAGAAGACCTCCTGGGCGTCCCAAAATGAGGTGGAAAGATGAAGTGACCAAAGATATGAGGAAGATAAGAATCATGGAGGAAGATGCTGAAGATCGGAAGAAGTGGAGGCATTCAGTTGGCACGGCCAAATACCAACTTGGGTATCGATGGCCATGGGAGTAAGAGTAAGTAAAATATTTTTTAGCATTACGCATCAACTTCTTTCCAACATTGGTCTTACACACAAGAGAAAGGCTGTAGGGATGTTGTCAAGCGATTGTCCACTGCCACTGTGCTGGCTCGGAGTTGGAGCTACTACTCAGTAGTGCATTTGAATGGATTGTGTTTTTGTGCCTCTGGGACATCAAAACGACAAATAAATCGGCCCCGGGTCCAAGTCTTATTATGAGTAGCCTAATACGGTAATAGCTTATTCCCTACATAGGAAATTTGCTAAAAATACTGTTAGCATAGGAAAGTGCAAAACCACACTCACCAGTGAGTGCCTGCTCCATGAACCCCTCGGCTGCCTGGTAGTCACCTTGCTCTACGAGAGTTGAGTGAAGTCGACTCAACAACGGGTCCTCCAGCTCTACTTGTGTCTCACGCTGCAATGCGTCGAACGCCTCCGTGTAGTTCATCTGGCGGAAGTGCTTCAGACAAAGCCGTATTGCCTCTCTCTTCTGGTACTGTTAATTAGAGTATGTTATTACTTTAGCCAAACTATAGTGTAACAAAAACTTATTTTGGTCCTTTTGTGTTAGTTCACAACCACCTTTTTTATTTAAAGTTTTTAAATTCCTAAGTTAGTCTGTAAGTGTGGGATTTGTTGTATTTGGTTAAGTTAGCTAAAAAAAGATACAAAATTGCAAAATTTATATAAAATGGGAAACAAAAACACATTTGTAAACGAGACTCTTACAACACATAGGCTAATAATAACAAAGCACTTTATAAAGCATGAACTGTCAAATATGTTCAAGCGTCTTCTTAAAAGATTTTGGTTCCGTATTGTTTTGACCACAAGTAACCTACTCACGTAACGCATCTAGCCTAGCAGCTTGCAAAGTGCGCTGTCCAGTTATTTCCAAGCGACAAGACCGGTACCAGGAATTATAGAGATTTTCTGTTAGTACCATGACATTTGAAATAGTTGGTGTAAAGGGAAAATAAAAAATATGGTGGTGGTGGAGAGCATTTTTTACACAGTGTAGGTAGGCCTAAGTAAGATAAGGTTAGGCCTATATGAAATTATCAACCCATAATTCATCTAAAAGTTAAAAATGGTGTAGTCAACCAGGAAGTCTAGGAGGATAAGAGTAGCAAAGAGAAAGACAATTGCAAAGACGGTCTTTGATGATCAGCAAGATTTGGACAAAGGACTTCAATATATCCCTCACCAGAATATTAGCCTCACCATCCCACCACTAAAACACTAACATCCCATAAGAGCATTATGATAAAAATTGAGTGTCGCCGATTTTGGAGGTATTAACTTAATGCTATTAATTTACTAGAAAAAGTATACTAACAATTTTTATAGTACACGGTTGCTCATTATTGTCGTAGGCCTACTTCACGTTCTAAAAATAACAGCACCGATCAGTTGACTACAAAGTTAGTTAATATTTTCTCTTTAACTATAATTTAACAGTACCAGTAATTTATTACCTCTATAAACCATTCCAACGCCGGTTCTACTACTTCGGGCTTGTTCACTCCGCTCAACAGTACGAACCAAATACTGAAGTTGAAGCAAGGTCCCCAGGACTGTAGGGGCATGATCTTGATATATCTGTTGAGAACATTATTTGGTTGAGAGGAGAGAGAATGGGGGACTAACCAAAATTTCTTATTAAATGTAGTTTTTACTTCCAAAAAGGTCTTAGGTACATGAACATGTTGAGTGTTTACATTTTTATTGTTAGTATTTCCAGTAGTACAGTACCTAGTCTACTAGTAAACGAGTTTGTAATGATCTTATTAAGTACTGGGCTAATTAATTGAATGATAAGTGAAATCTTATATCATGATATGTTGCTAAAAACATTAGCTTTTTACCTGCAAGGAAAAGCGTGACCCCCAACATTATGCCTCAGCGGGAATGTTTCTTCAATGTTGTCGTTCCTCAAACCACTGTAAAATTTTTAAAACAAGGATTAGTAAGAAAATCTGTTGTATCATCTGTAACATAAAAAGTTACTATTATTTGCTGTATACTTGGTAAATTGTATTTTTTATCACAATGAAAAGTAGTAAAGTCTTCCTTGTTGATTATTAACAAGTAAAGTCTTATGTGGGATAGAGGTTATGTTATTGCTCTTCAAAGGTCAATAGGCCTATTTCAATAAGTAGGCCTATGAGTAAACTAGTCACCTATTCTAAGGTTGATTAAATTAACATGAAGAAAACCTAGACAAGATTTCCACTTACGTATCTAGTAGCTCCAGCATACGTTCTTCAGTCATTCCACCAAATATTTTGAACTTTTTAAGATTGCACACATGATTCTTCTCATACTTGCCAAAAGTTATTGATTTTACAATTGCAGGTTTTGATAGTTTTAAAATAAGAAACTGTGGAGGGTTGTTTGATTCTGAAGACCACCTTGAAGTCTGGTCCGTTGACTTGTTTTCTTGGATATTCCTTAAAGACACCACAAAATTAAAGTTAGTAAGTTAGGTTAACTTATTACAATCTGTAATGATAGAAAAATAAAGATCTGAGTTTTAAGCTATCAAAATACAAATAAAATATAGGGGTTGCCCCCTATTTAACCCCTCCCCTGAGGGTGATTTTATAGGAAAAAAATATGTTTAACTTATGGGTACGGAAGTATCTTAAGTTAGGTATGAGATACCTAAGTATCTTGATTTTGTAAATTTTATTTTGTACTGTAGGCTATAGCATATTATGTGTGTGCACAACCAGTAGCATGGAAATAGGGTATAGATTATAACCAATAGGGCCTTATACCCGATACGATAGGACCTATATAAGTTATTCGATAAATCGATTATTTCATTCGGTAATTCTGAGCAATTACTTGGTCAACCCCAATTTTTTTCATATTTTACTACGGTCATCAGGAGGTTCTCAGAAAGCAAGAAACATATAATTCAAGCCCCGCAAGGTTAAGTTAGGTTAGGTTAGGTTAAGTTAGGTTATTAATTAACTCAACCTAACCTAACGTAACGGTACTGTTACAATTGGCCTTAGAGATGTATTTGAGACTAAAAAAAACATAATAAGTTAGGTTAGGTACATAGAAAAGGATTGTCGGAGGAACCACTAGCCATAGCCATAACGGTACTGTCACAACTGGCCTTCCGCGCGTCTCCGCAAGCCACTGTTATCGCTTGGACTTTGAACCTTCTTATCGCTCGGCAACCTGTACGATGGCCTTGCGGGCCTTGAATTATATGTTTCTTGCTTTCTGAGAACCTCCTGATGACCGTAGTAAAATATGAAAAAAATTGGGGTTGACCAAGTAATTGCTCAGAATTACCTTTCATTCGGTTAGTTGGGTTAGGTTAACCTGACTAAGTTGACCAAACTTGATAGGCCTAAGTTAAGTTATAACTTATCGGATGAAACAATCGATATATTCATTTGAACGAGTGTAACTTAGGACAGATACTAAAGTGCAGCCTTTTATTGTCATTAGGCCTATTTAAAAGTAGGCCTACACAAAAAACTTTTAAATAACAAATTTTACTTTCAAGAAAATTCACCTTCTTCACCTCAACCCCACTGTCAGCAGGCGCTAACTAGGCCTAACTTCCTAGGGCACAGCCCTACCTTGTTACATGGTTAGGCCTACCAATTGTTTAAAATATAGGTATAGGTTTAGAAAAGTGTAGAGAAGGGAAACCAATTGAAGCTAGGGATATGCATGAGCATTCCTCGTGAGGAAGAATTTAATCTTGATTAAAATTAAGTCTGCATAGGAAGAGGTTGACATGCCAACTGGCAACATGTGGCAATAATGTTTTTTTTAAAACATTGTTTACGTTATTTAATGCATAAACTGCGAAAATAGTCAAATGATCTTCAAAACGTTGTTTGTCTTCACTAACACTAACCTGATATAGGTTATGTAAGGTTAAAAGCAAATTGTCTAAGTTTAGGACGAAGGGCATACAATTAAACTACAGTGAAGGGAAATAAACAACTTACGATGGAACAAATGAAGCCGAAAAACTAGAACATTTATGAACTGAATAATCTAATTTCTCCATTGCAATATCCACCGTATTAGCACTTCCACTGTCTTCGGCAGCCATGATCATGATCTGATCATATTTATTTTTATTTTTTTTTATCATTCCGAGAACAACAACCCAATCCCTATTCAGTTCAGTCAGACTTCCTTCAGGACAGTTAGTCCAGTCTTTTCTGGTTCGTTTCCTGTTCCTGTTCTTTTACGACACTAGCCACGGCCGCCTTTAACTACCACTAGCCACGGCCGCCTTTAACTACCACTAGCCACGGCTGCCTTTAACTACCACTAGCACGGCCGCCTTTGTAGTTAAAGGCGGCCGTGACACTAGGGTCAACTGCAATCATGAAACAATAAATCCATAATCAGTATTATCATAGATAAAACCATAGATAAAACATACTGTTGGTTAGTCTATGATAAAACCAAAACTATCTCATCATAAATAATAACTCGTCCAGGCCGCGGCCTGGTAGAATTGGCAACGTCGCAAATGTTTTTTTCTTCCACCATGGTCGCAACTTGCGACTCGCAAGTGGTGTTGGTGTTGGTGTTGTTTAGTGATAGTGACAGAAGTCCCATAAGATAACATGTCACACAGGTGACATCAGCTCATTAATTCTCACTTTATTGTTTTAAATTTAAATTTAAATTTATGAACATAAATTTATTAAAATATTGAAAATTAAACATACAGAATTGAAAACCGAAACAATGTGAATTAAAAATCTATATATATCTGTAAATTTTTAAGCGGAGTCAATAGCCCAGTAACCAATCTTTCGTAAATACACAAATACCATTAGATTCTTCCAAACAAAACAGCTGTTTCACCACTTGCAACGTTGCCACTTCGAAGGCCGCGGCCTGGATCTGGATGAGTTTAAGGCGGCCGTGATAGTAGCATAGACTAACCAACACGTATGTTTTATCTATGATAGTAGTTAGGCCTATTATCTTGAAACACTGAAAAAATTCAGTATTAATGATAACAAATATAAAACTATAAAATATGTTGTGAACTTTATTGAATATGTTTTCACTTCATTGATTTTCCTTTTGATCTGACTGTTACATTTTTCTAAACTACTGTGTTTTGGTTTAACACATGTTAAATATTTTTGTATTGAATTAATTTAATTGTTTGAAGATTCAGTTAAGACTTTGGTATTAATAAAGAAGCCTACTAATCTGTTTGTGAAATAATTATTTTATCATTTCTGGTAATTATTTCAAGATTCAAAACATTTTGGCGACCGTGACAGGACCTTTTCTTTAATTTAAGACATCTGGGTTATTTAATAGTTTATACCAATATGGAAGGCCTAGAAAATATGAAAAAGAAAAGATCACAGATTAGAAGGCTATTCACCAAAGTTTATAATGAACTGGAAGAAGCATTTAATAATGAAGAGCTGTCAATGAATGATAAAGAAACTCAAATAAAAGTAAACTTTTCTCAAATTGAAGACAAAATAACAGCATTAATGGTAATGGATGGAAAAATCTCTGATGAAATGCTGATGAAAGATGCTTCTGATGCTGATCTGGACAATGAACTGGACACGCAAGAAGAATACAAGAAGAAATGGTACCTGATGAAGGCTAAGTATGAAATGTTTCTTAAAACACCTACCATCAATGGTGAGTCAAACATTTACAGACCAAACCGTAACTTTCATTTGCCTAAATTGCAATTACCTTCATTTGATGGGGATGTTAGGAATTGGATTGGGTTTTGGGGTCAGTACAAAAAGATTCATGAAGATAGTGAAATTAAACCTGAAGACAAATTTCAATATTTAATTCAATCCTTGAAACCTGGTTCATCAGCTAGGGAATTAATAGATTCTTTTCCTCCTTCTGGTGAAAATTACATCAAGGCTATTGAACAATTGAAATCCAGGTTTGCACGCGATGAACTTTTGATTGAAGTTTATGTAAGAGAATTACTAAATTTAGTTTTGAAACAAGCCAACAAACAAAGTATCATGCCACTTTCAACCCTTTCTGATAAACTTGAGACTCAACTTCGTGCCCTAGAAACACTCGGGGTCACATCAGATAATTATGCTGCCATGCTATACCCACTGGTTGAATCTGCTCTACCAACTGATACTCTCAGAGCATGGGAGCGGTACAGAACAACAAACAAAATAGGCTTAGGTGAATTTAAAGGTAACGAGTCATCTAATTCAAATTATTTACAGCTATTGTTGAATTTTGTACGTTCCGAGGTCGAAAGCGAAGAACGTTTAGCTCTTGCTCGGAACAGTTTTGCAGTGGACAGAGACACTACACCAAGTGACACCCAGCCACAGAAGAGATACCGCCACCAACGTCCCGGTATGAAAAGTGGGTTTGAGAAAGGACTACCTTTACCTACAGCATCTACAATAATTGCTACAGACAGCTCTTCAGTGGTGAGTAAGCCTACATGCTTATTTTGTAATAAAGGAAATCACAACACCCAAGACTGTTCTGGGTTACAAAAGCTTACTTTAAAAGAAAAGAGAGAGTTTGTGACAAAAAATGGAGCTCGTTTCTCATGTTTAAAGTTAGGTCACAGCAGTAATAAATGTAAAGTTTTTGTATCCTGTGCTATCTGTAAAAGGAAACACTACTGCTTAATGTGTCCTAGTTTAGAGAAAATGATGCACAGTAATACTCATGATTATGACAAATCAAATGTCATTGAAAGTGTTCAAATTAATGACAAATCTGAGTCCTTGATTGCAAATCAGAATAGGGAAACCTTATTACAAACTCTTCTAGTGAAAGTAATAGGACCTGACCAGCAATCTTTACTAGTAAGAGCATTGTTGGATTCTGGATCTCAAAGGTCTTATATCTCTAAGGACTGTGTAGAGAAACTTAAATTAATAGAATCTGGTGAGGAATTAATAGTTCATGGTTTGTTTGGAGGTATTAAAACTAAAGAGACTCCACATAATCTTTACCAAGTAGAGTTACGTGACACAAAGGGTAAATTTGGCATTTCAGTTAATGTGCTTGATCAAGACAAGATTTGCAATTACATACCCAGATTAGATACAAAAAGGTATTTTCCTATTTTAAAGAAGAAGAATATACACCTTTCAGATATTGGACAAGATGCAGCAGAAGAAATACAGTTACTACTAGGAGCTGATATCTTGGGCCAACTTCTCACAGGTAAAATTGAACAGCTAGATCAATCTCTGGTTGCTGTTCAGACTGTGTTAGGATGGACAGTAATGGGACAATGTGGAAAAAGTAACCAGTCACTTATTAGCATTAGTTGCTTTGCTAAAATGGACATTTCAGATCTATGGCGTTTAGATGTTTTGGGCATCACTGATCCATCAGGTAGTAAAACAAAGGAGGCGAATGCATCAGATGTCTTGGAGCATTTTAACAAAACTATTGTAGTAAATAGTGAAAATAGGTACGAGGTGACTCTTCCATGGACTGAAAGCCATCCGGAGCTTATGGACAACAGAGTTACAGCCGAAAATCGACTACATGCAGTGACTAAGAAGTTGATTAAGTTAGAAAAGTTCAATGAGTATGATCAGGTATTTTCAGAGTGGTTGAATTCAAACATTATTGAAAGGGTTGTTGAGTCCTCTGTAACTGATAGACCTTTACACTACTTACCTCATCACGCTGTGGTCAAAGAATCCAGTTTGACTACTAAGGTTCGACCAGTCTTTGATGCTTCTGCTGTCGATAGTAGGGGGAATTCTCTTAACTCTTGTTTGGAAAAGGGACCTAATTTAATAGAACTAATTCCAGCTCTAATGAAGTTTAGAAAACACCCAATAGGGGTTATTTCAGATATTAAGAAAGCTTTCTTGCAAGTAAGTTTAACAGAAAGTGACCGAGACACTTTAAGATTTTTATGGAGGGAGCGACTTATTGGAGTGGTAAAGGAAATTTTACGACGCAACTTGGGAAATTCATCAGTCACGCAGGAAGAACTCTCAACAATTTTGTGTGATTGTGAAGCAACTGTAAATTCAAGACCTTTGACTTATCTTTCGAATGATGATGACTGTTTTCAACCATTAACTCCAGCCTTATTCTTACAACCAACATCAACAGCTGAATTACCAGATTTGGATGAAATTGAGTGTCTAAGTTTGAATAAAAGAGTGCGTTATATAAACAAATTAAGAAGATCACTAAGAGACAGGTTTAAGAAAGAATATTTGACTACACTCGTTCACAATGGAAAAAACAAGAAAAGTAGAGAACCCATTATTGGAGAAGTTGTATTGATAGGAGATGATAACACAAAACGAATAAGATGGCCTTTGGGGTTGGTACAAGATGTATATCCAGGAAGAGATGGTTTCTCCAGAGTCGCAAGACTAAAAACTGGAAATGGTATTTTGACAAGACCACTACAAAGACTTTTCCCATTAGAAATCACAGCTTGTGAAAAAGAGTGTATGAAAGAAAATAAACCACTTGAAGAAGAAGAAGTAGTTGAAAACGAAGTCTTTGATTTCGCTAAGAAGAAAATCAGATGTGGAAGAGAAGTAAAAGTGCCCCAGCGATTTTACTGATTTAAAATTGCACATGTTTGGTTAGCAATTTTAAATGGGGGGAGGATGTTGTGAACTTTATTGAATATGTTTTCACTTCATTGATTTTCCTTTTGATCTGACTGTTACATTTTTCTAAACTACTGTGTTTTGGTTTAACACATGTTAAATATTTTTGTATTGAATTAATTTAATTGTTTGAAGATTCAGTTAAGACTTTGGTATTAATAAAGAAGCCTACTAATCTGTTTGTGAAATAATTATTTTATCATTTCTGGTAATTATTTCAAGATTCAAAACAAAATAATTTAATTTTTGAACTAGTTACCTTATGCCTTTGTTCTTGTAGGTATGAAGCTATATATTCATATTCATATTCAAACATCTTTATTCGTAAATCATGTACATTGGTGGTACAGTGAATAGTGTCAGAATACTTAAAATAAAAATACTATTTCTATTTATGGGAGGTGGAAAATTCATCAAAAGAATATAATGCTAGATTTATTAAATGCTCCTTTAGAATTTTCTTGAACTT